GGGTAGATACTCACCGTTCTGCTAAAAAAATGATATGAGCTCAAAATTGTTTTTTCATTCACATGTTATGGGAATTACTACCTCTATAATATTTTATGTTTCTTTTCTTATGTAGCTCATAAATTGGAAGAATATTTCTCTTTGAATTAGATAACTAAACAGTCCTTTGGAATCATACTTCTGAACTGAGAATGGGCTAAAAAAAACCCAAGCCATGTCCAACGAGTTTCAAGAAATAGATGTTAAGTGTAATATAGAATTGTATGAGCGACCATTTTAAACTAGAACATGTATTGTATAATCTAGTACACATCTGAATAAATATATGCACATATTCAAGGAGTGTCCAAAGAGCTCTGGACACAGGTATGGTAAGCATCAAACATGGGTAAGGGAGCCTAGATAAGGTGGGGTAACTTAGTATTAGACTGAAATTTAATACCATAAAATCTTGCAAGATCTTTATTTTCACTTTGTATTGAGAAATAATTATTTAGTGAAATACTGGAAAGCTTTAAAAAGGTGATGCATAAAACCCTATAGCTTCTGCTGCCATTCTATGTGGTGAAGAGTTCACGGTGAATTTTGCAGCAGCTTTAGCTAATCTCTTTTTAGCTCATGACCAGAAACATTTAGAATTGGTAGGTGAGGACATGATGTTGGTTGAAATGCAAAAGGAAGCTTTACTTTTCTAGACTCATGGAAACTTCATTTATTCTCTTTTGCTAGCAAATTGTTGTCTATGGGGAATCTTCTCTACGGGCTCCTGATGTACTATAATTCTTCCTATACTACATGAATGAAAGGACCATGATTGATTTGACAGTATTCATGTTTATTCTTTACTTACTGTGCAAGTGAGTTGAAATAGGTTATGGTCTTCCTATTTAGGATATCTAATAATATTTCTCTAAATTCGTGGACTTAAACTTTGAAGGCTAACCTGGAATTTGCATAGATAATTAACTTTACATAATTTTGTGAAGTAAATACGATTAATTGATAAAATAAATTCAAAGTGTCCAGTAATTTGATAGCGCAAGTAGTTTTTATTGGCACGAAATGTCCTAAAACATTCTATAATCAGTTGCAGAAACTTTGCATCTAAGAATTGGTATAAGTGAGTGCATTCTTTGCGACCCCCTCTCCACATGACACACAGTCAACAAATACTTACACTCTCAGCAACACCACCAACGTCGACCCACAAAGTTACTGTGCACCTTCCCACATCCACAAATTATCAGTTAATATCTACAATGGGTGTGTTTGGTTCTAATGAGTGTTGTATTGGTATTCCAATCTGATAAGCCTTAAAGGTTTAGGTAAAGTTAATTAACAATGCTTAGTTATTCTATGCATTAAGCATATCCTATCTCGATCTACTGTATTTGTATTCGGCTTGGATTTTAAAAACTATTTGAGATGTTTAAATTCTCTGTAACTTATATTAGTACGTAGAACGAAAACTAACCTAAAATTTACAAGTAAAAAAGGCTTGTGAATAATAGACTTGTCTTATTATATCAGTTCATTGTATGGATATGGTAATCAAAGAAAATAACTTTAGTACCACTAAATTTGCATCTGATAGACTAGCTTCTCAAAACAAAAAGATTTGAAAGCTACAATTCGAAAGTAACAGATGGTATCAAAAATGCAAAATAGTTGTCCTAGTTTCATAAAAACTATTAGAAATGTTATCTAAAATGTTTAGGTATTAAAACTTTGTTGTTACTCAACTCTCATACATTGGTATCTCGGAATCTTAACTCTTTAGAGAGAAGCATTTTCTTAAAGGTTACCATTGGGTTATCATGGTCAATACCGACTACATCCGAGAAGCTTTTAAATGGAGGTTCAATATCCAAGCTAATACAATAACTTTAAATCTTTAATGGCTATGAAATAACCATCAAAGCCCAATTATTTGATTAAGACTTGGGTTGAGTTAGCGGGTCAGCAACCTTACTCCCACCTCATCTAAAAGTGGAATTAAATATGAGGAAAGAATAGCTGAACAGAGAGTTGGCTCTTCAAGAGTGCTGTTAAATTCACACAACAATTGGTCTCTAACTCAGCGGTTAAGACCACTAGTTGTTACCTTTGAGATACACAGAACTTATAGCCTGTTTGGATTTGTAGGGGGTGAAGGGAAGTTAAGGGAAACTGAGAGAAGGGAAGGGAAGGGAAGGGAAGGGAGTTCCCTTACCCTTGGTTACACCCCAATTTGGGGGGTAACAAATTTTATACTATTAGGGAGTGAACCAAGGGGAACTAGGGTGAATTAACTTCACCTCCTAAGTGTTCCCAAACAAGGTGAATGGAAGTGAATGATTCCCCTAACTTCCCTTCAATCCAAACAAGCCCTTAGTTTTAAAATGTTTCTGTACACATTTTGATAAATAATCACGAGCTCTTCATGAAAACAAGTTTAATTACCAAATATGTTGATAATTATATTGGAAAACAACAATTTTTTATTAATAGGAAAAAGTAACTTAATAGAAGAGAATATAAAAAGTTGCATGCACAAATAGCTACCACTTGTCACATTTATGCAACTAGTAGAAGTTATTTTATAATAAGAACTAGTTTTCACCTGTGCGATGTGCAGGACAAAATATGACAATAGTGCTGTATACGTAAAATAGAGAAAAAAGAAGGCACTTCATATTATATGTGGAGATTTACTATTAGAAGTAGGAAATATTTACATACTAAGAGAGATGGTTTATGTGAAAACAATTGCATATAGATATATCAAGGTGTCAAGATAGATGTCTTAGTTTGTAATTGATAAAAAAGGTAACGTAATGTTCCACCACTGTTTCCTCATGCATGAAGTTACTTGTTAATTAAAAATATATAGAACTTTAAGTGGCTAGGAGCTAGCCATTTATTTTAGTATGTAATAATATAGATAAATATGTAAAGAATAAAAGAAATATTTAAACAGTCATCTAAGATCTCTGATACCGTATGACCTTTTGTTAATTTTGAACTACCCTTTTAACTTTTCTTGAGCTGGAACAACTACAAATCTAATAATGTTCTGTTTTCTTATCCCATGTTCGGCCAGGAAGAGCTGAATTTTCTGCTTCAAAGGGCTTATTGTATAATCTTACATTTACGAGATCCATGACAATGTCAATAACTAAATTTGATAAACCTTCGGGCTGTGCTTGAGGGTCTTTGGCTAGTGGCCACTCAAACATCGTCCAACTTAATATTGATATAGTTTCTGGACTATTTAGTATATGGATCCTGATTGCTATGCCCTTTGATCAAGAAATTGACTTGCATATCAAATGGAGGTTAAGGGGTTAAGGGTATCGTAGCTTTGTCCTAGAAAACCGTCAGTTGCTCAAATCAGCTCTACATTGATTTTATATGTGCCTTAGATACAGGATTGAGGAAATGAGAGGTAACAGAACAAAAAAAAAGAGGGAGGGAGGGAGGGGACCTTGTCCAATTTACGATCAAGGTGAAATAGGCTGTTATCCTGACTAGGCATTTTACCCATTAAATTTCACCTGTCAGTTGTTGATCATAGGGTTAATTAGTCCCGTACAACACTGCCATATCGGAGTTACACCTTGATATAAATGGATTTGTTATGTGAGGCTTGAGGGATGCAGTGACACTGTTTGCCTATGCGGGAAGTTTCTGTGTCATATATGCTGTGCAATTCTCCTTATTTTTATATGATGAAATGTTGAATGTGATCTGAGGTTGTTCACAGTGCCAAACAGGAATGGAACATGTTAACTCAAAAAGCCTTCTTTAACCTTGAAGGACCAGCAAATTTTCAAACAGTCATCAACAAAAGTGTCTTGAAATGGGAATATTTATGATCTTTAAACTGCTGATCTTCTCCTTGATTTATATGCCAATTCCTTAATCCGAGGGCCATAAGATATTGTCACTTGAGACAACATCATTGACTCAGTTTAGTAAAATAGGTAATAGCAGGAATCAGAAGTGTGCAGATAGAGAAGAAATGTCAAACGAAAAGAGTAGTTCCATGAATTGTACGAGAGGCACAAGGATATAGAGTGATGAAAAGATAAGAAAAGAAAGGTTTCAGAAATTCATGTGAGATAAATCAAGCACGTAGACGTAGTTTGATTTTGAAATGAAGTTATTTTAGAAAAATTTGCTGGAAGTAGAATTGAATGGTTTGGATATTTTTATGATTATTTTATTTTATTAAAGGAGCCAATGATGGAAAAAGAATTTTAAATTCAACTTGAAGCATCAGGTGAAGTTTGTTGCTTTAGTTTCCTTAGGTGTGACTTGTTAAGAAATCACTTCCATTTAGTCTGGATTTCTGAGCAATATGACAATAATTTGATTAGCTGAATATATTCACTTAAATCACACAGATTTCCTCAGTTTGGTCTTGCTTTGACGTGGTGAATTATTTCAGTTTGCCATTATCCAATCATTTGCTCAAGAAAAATGTGGTTTGCTGTGGAAATCCACGTATTCATTTTGCCTTCAATAATGAAGTAATACACACATACTGTCATACAGCCTGACATGCTTGAGCACTGCAGTCCATTGGATGTTTGTACAGTAACTTGAAGCATAGAATAATAAAGTAATACACACATACTGTTATAAGTTTGACAATTGATACATTATACTATAATCAAGGTTCATTTTATAATCCTATATTAATATACAAGTTTTTGGCCTCATGCTTGCAGTCGCCAGTCACTGGCATACGAAATACTGACCATTGTAATTTGTTATTAAATGAGAACAATTTGTACATTATGCTAATACAATGTTGTCTTATCTCATATGGGTCCTAATAAGTGTTGGTTGCTTTTAGATTCTGCAAGAAAAAGCTTGTATGAAGTTTTTGAAAGGAAGACTGATGAAAAGCTCCAGCGCTTGAATGAAAGTGGTATGTTTCTTGGATTTTTCTTGTATGATCATTGAACCAATATCTTGCGTATGGGTTGTATTCTGTTTGATTACAAAACCAGTAATCGTTGCTTTGCTGCTTGTTAATTTTAGTGTCATTTGCTGGCAGCACGAGGTTGGTTACCCACTTTATCATTGAGTTCGCATAATAAGAGAAATATGGAATTCTTTGCAAGAACATGAGCAAGAACATGAGCAAGAACAGAAATAATGATAGCCAAACATATTTTTAGTATGATCTGCAATAAATCAGTTCTTTTTTGAGCTACAATTGTGTTATCATCTCATGCATTTATTGGATTCTGGTTAGAATCAGTAATCAATTAGTTTGCTTTGAATTACATTTATATTATAAGTTCATGCATTTATTTCTGTTCTAGGTAAATTTAGTATTATTGTTTTGTGGTAAAACTGCTAAAGCAAATGTAAATTTTGCGACGTCAGAAAATGGTTCACGAAAAATATGATGACATTGAAGTACAAGTTCTATCCCATTATTTCTAATATGATCTTGAGATGTCTCATCACTTTAAAGAAGTTTTACAATATAATTACATCTTGTGAAAATGAGATAGATGAACTCAGAGCATACATTGGTTCATATCATATATGCCCATTTGCAAGACTATATGATTGGTTCTTACTTAAGGACATCAGTGTTTTCATAGACCCAAAATGATTTACTTTGGTGTAGATGGACCATATTTGGGAAAGTATGGGCACAATTGAAGATGATGATCTTTGTAATTATGCTCTCTCTTTGTCCTTTATTCTCTTGTTTATTATGTCAGCTCAATTTTTGCAGTGTTCAAACAAAACCATATAAACTTGGCTTTGTGCTACCATCCAAAAAATGAGCGTCTTCTTCTAGTTGATTTTACGCTGAGCCTAGCTTGACTTCTTGTTGTCAGGGTTGTCTCCCAGCAAATTGACTGAGTAGCTGGTCGAATTTGAGAACCATAATTATTTTCCTAGTGAAACTCATCTAGTGGATAGTTTTTGTTCTATACTTTGGATTAATCAAGAATGTACTCCTTGTCGAATACTTCTGAATTTTAGTTGCTTTGGTTCATTATGAATGGTTCTTTATTCCGATCTAATCTGATAAAATTAGCTTTTGTGCACCCTCCAGGTAGAGAACTTGCTGTGTCATGGGCATTATGTGCAGTCTGCCTGCTGGGACATGCTTCTCATTTTTTCGGAGCAAATGTCCCACCATGGATCCATGCTCTCCATTCTACAGGATTTCATTTATCACTCTCTATATTTGCGTTCATCGGACCAGGGCGCAAACTCATTATTGATGGATTAAAAAGTTTGTTCAAGGGTTCGCCAAACATGAATACCTTAGTTGGCTTAGGTGCTATATCATCCTTTGCTGTCAGCTCCATAGCAGCTTTCATTCCCAAACTGGTATATGTCATTTCTTACTTCTGAAATACATATATTTCTCACGTTGGCTTTCATTCCCGAACTGGTATATGTCATTCCTTACTTCTGAAATACATATATTCCTTATGTTGTTAAATACCTGCACTCTGGGTGGATACTGCTGATTATATCTTTGGTCCTTGTGGAATGCTAATAGGAAGAATTGTATGCACGCCACTGATATTACTATTGTGACCAGATTGAAACTTTTAGATACAAAAGCTGTAAATTAGAAAAACTGTCATGCCTTTCTTCACAGTGATATATGGATGAAGCTTATGGGAAAGTTAACTTAGAATAGCAAATAGTTCTATGTAAATAAGATTTACCGCCGTAAATATAATGTTGTATGGTAAAGAACCATGCTGAAAATAATGTTACACAAAACAAAGTCAGTTGATAGTGTGCAAACATGCGACAAATCTAGTATCTTTTATCCCAAAGACATGTCAGGGATCTTTAGATGCAACCTTCTCAGGTGACTGCAAAAGATGCGACTTATAAGACTAATGCTACTTATAGCTAACGATAGTACTATTATTATTGCCTATTCTGTATGTCCTCTCTAACTCAAGGAGACATACTGATGCAGGACGTTGGAATAAGAATATAAGGTCCAAAGTACTAAATGCAATCAGACAAGCATGATAATGCAATCAAACTAACTAGATAACTCCTAAGATCCCTAAACTGTATAAATGCTCTAGATAAGGTTCTAAAGATGATCTAGGAAATAATATGCAATCTACATGCTGTGATGCTAAAACATGCAAGACACGTAGGGAATTGCCAGCAACTAATGATCAAGCATAAAACTATGCAGAAAGAAATAACTACTTCAAAATTCAGTAACCAGTTTCAGAGATTAGTGAAGTTTATAAGTCAGGGCAAGACTTACTGCCTGTTTCCTCAAGCCATACAAACCATTAGATTGAAAGCTTCTTTTAATGCAGTCAATGGAGTTCTGTTGGATCAGGAAGGTTTTGGACTGAATCATGATGTTGGATGGCTGGATCTTTGGTTCGACTAGTTTTGATGGCTGTTTCGAAGAGTTCAGGGGCTGTTCAGTCGCTTTTTGTTTCGGTTGGGCAGGGGCTGGAAGTCATTGAAGGCTGTGGAGTGGTGTCCTCTAGTTCTAGGAGATGAATGGTTGCCTGTTTTGTCTTGGGGTGATGAGGGATTAACTTGCTCCAGAGCTGGATTTATGGTGCAAGTTTCATGGAATTTGGACAGTGGTTAGTTAGATCAGAGATTGGGGTTCAAGGGCTGTTAATGAGGGTTGTTTTGAAGTCTTAGCCAACTGCGTGGGTGGTGTTGGAGATAGAAGAGGGTGTTATTGGTTTTTATTATGATTTTGGAATTCAATGGACTATTGACAATTAAGGCTTGGTTTTGGTCAGTTGCTTTGAGATGAGTTGCTTCGGGAAGCTTGGCGGCAGAAAGAGAAGAGAGGGTATGGCCACAGGATTTTGGTTAGGATTTGATCTCCGACAATCAAAAAACATGTGCACTCATGGCTGGGCTTTGCACTAGGATGTGGTCTCAGACTATGAAGCACGGACACGGCGACACGGACACGACACGGACACGGACACAACAAAACCCAAAAAAATAGGATATGGCGACACGGCTAGATTTTTTAAATAATAATATTATTATATATAGATCAATATTGAATTAAATTCCTATTACATTTTCATATTTTTGTTATGTAAAGTGGATATTATAAATTAGGTCCACGCAAAATTGATTACCAATTAGAACTTTTCCAATACCTCCAAAATAAATTAGAGGAACCGCACAACTTCCCATATATACGAAAACCGACGCACAGTAATAGCCCCAGAGTTCCTGAGCAAAACTTCAACCTTTATTAATTACACATTACACAAATCTACAAAAATCCAACCTGACACTGGGTACTTGTCTCAACCTCGCTGGTTCCAGCTCATCAACCTTTATTAATCACACATTACACAAATCTATAAAAATCCAACTCAAAGCATCCAGATCTTGCACGTGTCCACCTTCATCTGTCCTCAAAGAGTACTAAAGTCCCAACGCAAAGCCCACTTGTTCATAAAACACAAAGTCCACCAAAATATACAAAGCTCCATTTTATCCCCACTTTCAAGTCCGCTCTCCCACTTGAAAAAACCCAGGCGAAGAAAAAAAAAAAGAAAAAGCAAAATAAATCGAAAAAGAGAAGCAAAGATCTGAAGCTCACCACCGGCTCTATGGATTCCCTGATCTATGGCAGCGCTAAAGCTATCCTCATCGCTGCGGCCATCTTCTTCGTCTCCGCCACGTCAGCATTGTTCTAAGGTAGGCCTTGCTGTTGTCATCCGCCCCGACGACGTCGTCAGGCCCGGCAGCGTCATCCACGGCATCGAGCGGATGCTGATCCCTAGAGCCAATCTTGAGAGAGATGAAGGGATTGTGGCTGGTGGCATCGGGACCCTGGTAACTGAAGAAATTAGGGTTTGGGTTTCGGGTTTTTCTTTTTTGTTCGCGAATCTCAGCCGTGTCGGGAATGAGTTGGGGGCGTGTCGAAGCGTTGACCTGCGTCGGTGGTGTTGACCGCTTGTCCGACACGTGTCGAACATGTGTCCGCATCGGACACGGACTCGGGGCCCAGTTTCGCGTGTCGGTGCTTCATAGGTCTCAGACAATGATAAATCACATTCACTCATTAAAAATATCATCGCTCTCTAATCTCAAATATGAAAAATACAAAACTAGTTGTAGACTCCAAGAGGTCCAAGTACAAATAGGATTCCAAGTACAAATAGGATTCAAAGAGATTCAAGCCCAATTAACAAAGCTAATACAAATAGATTCAACTATTGTGAAAGATGACTCCACAAAGCAAAAAAAAAACATGATTTAGCTAAAAATAAATCAAATAGGCTTTCTCCGAGACCCTCTGAATAGGTCTTGAAGTCCTGACTCCATCACATTCCCACTCTAACTAATTGATTTTTTTCTTTGCTTAGGGGACCAAGTATATTTCAAACATGATAAGAATTGTTACTTCAGGGGTTTGCATGTGCTACCTTATTAGGAAGCATGTGCTACCATAATAGAGTTTTGCCTCTAGTTAGGAAAAATGCTTTCGCCTATCTAAACATGTTCTAACATGCGACCGTCAAATTGACTGGTTAAAAGTGAAAAGCTTAATACCTTGTTTGAGGCTTCCTTCCATCCTCCTTTACCTCATTTTATTTAAAAGAAAACAAACTATTATTTTCTGTCTCTTCTCTTCCCTCCCCATCCCTATCCTGAGACTTCCCTGCCCACCTCTCCCCCCTTATGTGTATGTGTTTCTCTGTCCAATTTTGTAACGAAGGAAGATAGTTATGTATTAATGTGTGCAAATTTTCAGCAAATTAAATGTGCTTATACTTGATATTAAAGATATCAAAAGAATGTGACTTCATACTAAGGTAAACACAGTATGGGAGTATGGGGTTTTTATTTATTAAGCAGGCTGCCAAAGCTAGGTGCATGTCGAGGCGCCTAGGGGAAATAGTGGCAATGTAGGGGCCGTTGCCAATGAGACATACTAAAATAAATAAAGTAGATAAATTAAAATAAAAGTAGAAAAATAAAAGAAAAATGTACCTCAATAAATGAAATTGCGGGTGTTTAGCGGTGGGGATTCAGGGTTTGGGGAGTGGGAAGGGAGGGGAGGCGAAGTAGGGGAGACTGGACCACAAATTTAGGGGGTTGGGTGGGGTTGGGGAGGTCATGTTACGGTGGGTTTGGATCCAAAAGATTTAAGAATGTTGCTTGTTGGTAGGATTGCATCCAGTTGACTTGAGAATGCAGAATATTACCTTGCATCCAATAGTAGCTGGGTTCTCACATTTAAATAATCAACTTGGGAATGAAATGTGTAGAGAGTGGAAGCACTTTCCCAAATAACATGTATACATGTGTCTTTTCTATGTATATCGTTGTATATAAAGTTGCTTTATGTTGAATTTTATTGATTGACTACTATTTGAAGACACTTAATGGTGACTAGCTTAATATTACATGTGTTTGTGTATTATCAAGATTTTTGTCTCCTTGAACGTATGATGGTGATCACCTAAGTTACATAGGGACAAGTATGTGCCTCAGCACCTGTATGCAACCTGAAACAACATGGACAAATGGTTAATTTTCCAGCCCATTTGAACCCCCCGGTAACTTAGAGAAAGGGCTAATGTGGTATCGGGATTTAAAAATGAGATATTTTTGAACTGTGATAACCCAAAGCCCATAACTTATGATATTGGTTTGAACCATCATTGTCTGGTTTTGGTGACCTGTAAAAGTTCACATAATACCTTTTACTCTAGAGATTTCTTTACTTTCACTCTACAGTGGTAGTGTGATCTGGGACCCTTCTGAAGGAAAGACTTAAAGTGGGATGATAATGGTTATCAATATCGAAAGTGTGAGATTATACTTTCATTCTTATCCATACATACTTGGATACTTTCTGAAACAGAACTCCTGTTCTCAGGTGAACTAGTCTTCTGTTACTCATTTAGTCCTCCAAGCTCCACCTATATTGATCGACTTCTTCTAGGTGGCCTTTTTAACCTATGAGAGGGACATAGTTGGATGGTTTATTGGGAACTAATTCAGCAGTTTATTTATTCTAATTTATTTTTTGGATAAGGTTATTCTGGTAACTTATGGTGGCATGGAGTTGCTTCGTTTTGCGACTTTTGTGTCCTTTTGGGCCATATTGGTCAACCTTTTTCTTTCATCTTTGATTTAGTGCTGCATGACATTTGGTTGTTTGGGAAAATAGTTTTATGGGATGGCTTCTGCAGGTTGTTATATGGCCTTATGTAAACCATGAATATTTCGTTTTCATAGTAAGCAACTGTACATATCACTGATATAAGATACTCAATTTTATCATCAGTTTATTAATTATTAATATATTTATTTTCTATTGATTATAGGTTCTTAAATCACTTTTTTGTATTACAGTAATACTTGCTACATTCGGTGTCTGTCATCTTAGTATAATGATTTAGGAAACACTTTAGGAATTGATTATTGTACATTTTCTTTTCATTCTTGCGTTAATTTAGATTGTCACAAATATATAAATTGCATTTCCTTTATGACATGGACCTATATTTCGTGATCAATATTAATGCAGGGATGGAGAATGTTCTTTGAAGAACCAATTATGTTAATAGCATTTGTCCTGTTAGGGAAGAACCTCGAACAAAGAGCGAAGTTAAAAGCTAGCAGTGACATGACTGGTCTTCTGAATATTCTTCCAGCAAAAGCGCGCCTTGCAGTTAATAATGACACAGAATCAGCCTCACTTGTTGAAGTTCCATGCAGCAGTCTCGCAGTTGGAGACTTCATTGTCGTGTTACCAGGAGTGAGTAAACTTGTCATTTAATATCATCATTGAGTCTTTTGCTCAGTGCACAATCTTTTAAATTTTTCTGTCATTTGCAGTAAGAGAAAGTCTGTTATCATAATGAACTTTTGATTCCTTTGTCAGAATTTCCACCCCCTTTGGCTCCTTTTCTTATTGATCTTTGCAGCACATAGACAAGGACCTCACTTCTCGGCTATTTCATTTTTTTGAAAATGTCCATACTGCATTGCTTGACCATCCATTGCTTTGACCTTAGTTAAAACCCGGATTCCTCTGCTGTCACTGACTACAAATTTCTTCTTTCACAAATCATCTTGCTCAACATCCTTTCACTTGGATAGACCTTCTATTTTACAACTTTTGAATCCATACATGTGGGAGCACTTCTTAACTTCATCCCTCCCAGGTATTAATCCAGCCAGACAAGGACAACCTGGGAATTTTCCTTGTTTGGGAGATCCATTTGCAAAGTCAGGCCTCATTGTGAACATAGTTTGGAACCCAACTTAAAGTTGGATTGGGTACCCAATCTGCAGCATGTAAACTGAATCCTGGGCTGAACCAGAACAAAGTCATATCCACAGGTCACCTAACCCATCCCAATCTTTGATGTCATTTGTGTGTGAAGTTATAGTTTACCTGGGCCTGGTAAAATAGCCCAACATGGTCTGCTCACCATAATTGCATCTTGCTTCCTATCTTCCCATTAGATTGTTGTACCTTTCAAGCATGGATGAACATTATGCAAACAATTTCCACGTTGTGTCCATTTTGATTGACTACAAGCTACTTAGGATCTGTAGAGTGAACCGTTAATTGTTATAAGGTTAGTTCTTATTTTGAAGAGTCTTAATTTATTTGTTCAGTGCCTCTATGCTTCACAATATAGCCCTTTGTCCACCTCTTTTAATCATGGAAATAGGTTTCTTCCTACTATAAATTCCTCTTGAGTAACCCCATATATTTGATGTTGTTTACCTTATTTCATTTGTTTTTATACTGCCTCTTAACCATCTAGGATCGTGTTCCAGCGGATGGAGTTGTCAAAGCTGGACGAAGCACTGTTGATGAGTCAAGTTTCACTGGGGAACCTATGCCAGTGACAAAATTACCCGGGGTATGTCTTTCATTGTATTTACTGTGCTTCCATTTTATCTCCTTGGATGGTTCACTTTTTTTGAAGTTTCTCCAGAATTTGCTGAAAGCCTGACCCTATGAGTTGGTCTTTTGTGTATGTGATCTTTCAGTCTAATGCTTTAATATTCTTGACAGACTGAAGTTACTGCTGGAAGCATCAACTTAAATGGTACGCTAACCGTAGAAGTGAGAAGACCTGGTGGAGAAACCGTTATGGGAGATATAGTTCGGTTAGTGGAAGAAGCACAGACACGGGAAGTGCCTGTACAAAGGCTGGCTGACAAGGTATTTATATCTCATGTTTCTTACTCTCTTTCTTTAGTATTTCTTTCTTTATTGTCCTTCTGTGAGGTTCAGTTTCTATCTAGATATTATTGATCTGCATAAAGGCAGGGTAAGGTTACTCTTCATAGAGGGAGGGGGTGGGTGGAGGTCTTTTCAGTAGAAATTAATAAGTTGTAGTTGAACTGATATGTAGTTAGACTCATTAAAGCATAGTTAATCTGTCTTCACTGGTTTATTATGTGCAACTTTGGTTTTAATAGGTCTCTGCTTTGAAGTCTAAAGTTGGACATGTACATAGTTTATTTGTTTAAGATGCTTCCTTATATTAGCATAACTGGTTCCATGAAGTATACATGGTGTTTTATGACAATAGGTTGCTGGTCATTTTACTTATGGTGTCATGGCAATCTCTGCTGCAACATTCATGTTTTGGAATACTTTTGGTTCACAACTTGTACCACCTGCTATTCAAGGAAGTCCAATTTCATTGGCGTTGCAGCTTTCTTGCAGTGTTCTGGTAAGTTATTTTTATGCAGCCTCGTCGTTTTCCTGGTGTTTTTTTTATCATTTTCTGGTCAAATTATCCTCATAATATGGATTTGATAAGCTTGTCAATAGGAGGTTTCTTAGCTCACTGATCTCAGTGTAAATTAGTGGCTTTGCTTAGTAACTGAGTTATCCCTCTTGCTTCTCAGTTATGTTTTGTTGAAATTCAATGATAGAGGGACCATCGCTGCTTTGGATTCTATTCTTGATCGCAGTTATTTTGGTTCAGATATATTCAATAACCTTCTTCATACTTTGCTTAATAACACAGTTATATATCCCAGTCAGATAGGCTATCAGCCTGCAATGGAGAAAATTGTCTCCATAGTACTTTTCCAGACACCTGAAGTATAATACAACGCTTTATTATTTCTGGGATGCTGAATCAAAGAGATGCATGGGTAGATTCTGTGTTGGTGACTCATATATACTTGGGAACAATGTAGACAAACTCTTCTGCCCCAATTTTTGTTCAGAATAAGAATATTCCATAGTAATGTCCACGTTCTTTACACAGTTGAGGAAGTAGGAATAGGCCTTCATTACAGAGACCTAGATTTCTTGTCGACCATGCTAAGCTGCACTCTGATGGATAGCACCATTTTAAATAATTTTTTTCAAATAGCTGTATTGCGGATCAGATGTTAAAGAAATAATATTTCTTATATATTCTGGAAGATTTGAGGATTATCTTATTCTTGTTTTCTAGAAGTAGTTGTTTAGCTTGGAAGTTTTATTTTGTGTTGGAGTTCTATTCTAGTTACTAAGCTGGTAGGTAAAGGTTAAAATTGCCTCCAATGCTCAAAGATAGTTCAGTTTTTTAATTGATAGTTGATTGCAACTTGGATTTCTCATCTAAAACTCTCTCTATCCGTGCCCAAAACACCCAACCACACACATACACATCAACCTTCGTCCCTTCCAATTGTTATCTCCTCTTTGTTTTTTTTCCCTCTCTCCTCCCCATGCTGCTAAGGTGTGGTAAAAATGTGTATTTTAATTTTTTTTGTTGGAGAGAGGCAAGCAGGTACACGGGCTTGTTTAGACAGGGGTTGATGTAAAAGATGGAAAAGGTGGATAATTCATGAATTTTCATTTTGATTGTAATATATCGAAAAAATAATGTTCACCTCCGGCAAAGCCAATGCAATATTGCTTCATATAAAAGCAATTTGCTTTCTTTGAGAGGATGTAGTTTACGTAACGGCCATTTTAATACATCTAGCAGCGCAGTGCAGATAATCTTCCAGCTCAGTGTCAATCTTGGTCTTGCTTCACTTCCGAAGCCTTGTCTACGCCAAATTATAGATTATCTCATTATTACTTCTTAATTTCTTGCTTGGGTATGCTTTCAGTCTGTATAAGGTGTATAAATCTAGGGCAGGAGGTTATAATTGGTGAAATTTCAGTATTTCTAGTATAACTCAATAAGAGTAGGTGTGCTTCTTCTATCTCTGTTTTACATGTAACTCCTGAAATACTTTCAATTTCCTGCACATAATGTTTACTTCAAATGGAGTTCAGATGACCAGCCATACTCCTGTACAGGTCAAGGCAGGTTAATTTAGTAATTCTGATTAATTATTTTACACTCAGCAAGTTTTTGACCTTAAATCAATAATATTATTGATGTTGTATTAATTAAAAATGAAAACCCTTAGATGTCAGAAATGACTAATGATTTACAGTTAATAAATATTTGTTTTTTGCTTATTTTGGATCACAATCTGCATCATACAAATGGATCATGCAACCCAACATTGTTTTTTGATTCGGATAGAGAAAGTTAATTGCTATTATAATTGATGAAGTACAGTTCCTCCATGAATACATTGTTTGTTAGAACAAGAAGGAAAAAGGAATGTGAATGCAAAAAAATCTTAGAGCACTCACAGGGAAATGAGGTAATTCCAGGTGAGGTAATTCCTGGTGGAAAAGAAGTTGGCACTCGACATTATCCGTCAAACAGTTACCAATTACCATAGGTCAGTCAGATCACTAATGACTCGACCGGTTTCCAGAATTCCCCCCCAAAAATCCACCTTTTGTGGGTCACTCTTTCTGACAGCCTTGGTATTTTTGAGATTTTTGCCCTTTCTTTTCTGCTGACTATTTCCACTGGCATCCTTGAGTGCAGGTTGTTGCATGTCCATGTGCACTTGGGCTGGCCACTCCTACTGCCGTGCTGGTATCAATCAAGCTTCTAACTAAAATTATTCTAGAGAAGTCCTCTTTACTACTGTTTATCTTGATTTCATTCAACTTAATTTGATGCCAGGTTGGAACCTCGTTAGGGGCAACCAGAGGTCTACTCTTACGTGGTGGGAATGTCTTAGAGAAATTTGCAGGAGTTGACACAATAGTATTTGACAAGACAGGAACTTTGACAATTGGAAGGCCGGTAGTAACTAAAATTATGGTTTCTAAAAGCGAAAATCAAGATTCAAAGTTAAGTGGAAAACATGCTATTTACTCCAGTTAATATTTGAGACTAACTATCTTTTGTTTATTCATAAAGATGTTCACTTCTATGCAAAATAATTATAAATGTGATTGGTGGACACATACATGGTGTATCAGACATCAAAGTTGGCCAATACTGTACATTAAAATGCAGTTACATGCTTGCATTCACATGTACACATTTATATATGCTTGTTTTCATTTGTAAATGGAAAAATCCAAAAACATAATATAAACAGACACTTTACACTATTTCATTTTCTGGTAGTGTTATATGTGGGTTTTTTTGACTAGTTAACATCTATTCATAGTAGAGGTCTTGTTGTTTTAGACAGAGTCTGTGAGATATATAATATTAGCACTGAATTTGAAGTTTAATATTAGGATTAAGTCTGGGACAAATCCATAAACAACAAGGTTTTAAATATCGGATAACAGGAAAATGTCGGATGGCCGAAATTCATATCAGATTACGGATATCATGGAAATATCGTGTATATGTGGGAAATATCGGAACTCCATAACGGATGTTTGTATATATAGTATAATGCACTAAAATGTGATCTTGAGGAACTTAATAATATCTAAGCATGCAAATTGTAAATAATATATGTTTAAGATAACTAATCAACCTTGTAAAACAATAAAAAGTGTAAATCACATGTTGCAACATTCGTCTGATTTTTTAGGCCAAAATGTCATTTTGTATGATGGGAAAATCATGATATCTCGCCCAAAAATTGCCAAATGTGGTATATTGTTTTGTCATAAGCCATATAAAAGGATATATCGGTCAACATATTAGCTGATATATCAGCCATATTAGGGATATATCGCCCAAAATAGTCAAAAACCTGTAAAGGATATTTAGAAACTATATCGGTTGCAACAAGCCCTATAAAAGGAAATGTCGGGGGATATATCGTGTCATGTCGAGGATATTTAAAACAATGGTAAACAATTGTTTCATAAGTTCGCCTATGAGTACTTTATCATTACTTTTAAAATTCTAGTTCAACTAAATGACTACATGACTACTAGCGTCCTGGAGAAAGCTTCGTCCCACATTATGTTTATTGGCTCAGGAAAGTACTTGAACTATGAAACTTACAGTAGCTACAGTTATAGAACAGTGATATTATTGTTGAAAGGTTTAAAAGAGGTCATAGAAGCTGCAGATCGACTGCATAGAAGTTTTTGTTGACATTCTATGGTCAAGCATACGTACCTAAATATATTCTTCCTTGATGTCAAACGTTTTCAAAACGTAATAATGACCATGCCTTATCTTTATTTTTTATTTTTCATTTGGAAGTACATGGAAGTTCTGGTCCATTGGGCCAAGAGATATTGTCTGATACTCTATAGTGTCTTCTTCTAAGAAGATTTGCGCCTCATTTCTTTATCCTATTTAATGCTGAACAGTGTTTTTGTATATATGAAGAATAATGTGCATGGAAGCAGTTCATCTCTAGGCTGATTTCATGGCATCATTACATTTTATACAAGGATGGAGTTCGAGGTTTAAGTAAAAGTTAAATTTGTACTGTTTAGATTAAAAATGATGGTCGTTGAATTTTGGTTTACATATTCACTTTTTATTTTAATTTTCTGATTTCGCATTGTATTTGGCCTAAAGCCTTTTACTGATAAACCTATATCCGCTTGTACAGGAATTCCGCAAATCATAAATGGACAGAAGATGAGATTTTGAGTTTAGCCGCAGGAGTTGAATCAAATACAAACCACCCACTTGGAAAAGCAATTCTTGAAGCTTCTCAAATAGCTAGCTGCCAGAGTGTGAAAGTAACAAACTTATTGTGTTCTCATGATTAATTAACTCTCCTTGCCATTATATGTTAGTTTAACAGAAGGAATAAGAAATAGTAAGACAATGGTAGTGATTTAATAACTCTATACCAAGAGATTAGAGTTCATAGTAACTACTGGTTGCAACTGCAAGCACAGAAACCAAGCTTTAGAGATTAAATTAGTTGTAGGTTGAATCAGTTTTAAATTGTTGCTTGAAAAGATACAGAGATGACAATGCCATCTTTGTTCATTTAAACCCTAACATTTATTTCTTTGCATTAAAACTTATATAGCTGTAGTAGTTTGGTATGGGTGTAATGAACTATATGATACCACTGTTTTTTATTTAAACAAATATGAATTGAACTGAAAAATTAGGTATGTTATCGTTTGAATATCTGGAATTGCTTTTCATATTGTTTTCTTGTGAATCATTCACTTGATTGGAACCAAAGACTCGGTGATGCTAGATCCCGGTTTTGAATCACACCATTAATACGCCCATCACAAAATAATTGGACTTTGATCCTTTCTTTATCCAGAATTAGAATTCGTTGTATGATCTGTATTATTGACTGCATCACATGCATGTTTTGCATATGCGGGTAGACTGTTGTATTTGTGTTTAGATGCTACCGACCAATTAAGGTATTTGTCTGTGAGCAAGTAGCAATTACCTGGCAGAAGGTGTAGTCTGGGATAAGACACTTGTCTCTTTAATGTTTCATGCATTCAATTGAGCATTCAATTAAGATACCTTGATCACATACATTCAGATAATGGTACCTCTCTGAATGACCTGTCTTCATAAGTTCATGGACACCCTACCTCACGTTACATTAAAGTTTAACAGTTACCTCATACTATAAAATAACTAAACACGTCCTTATTCTACTGATTTTATCTAATCATAGGTGATAGATGGAACATTCAGTGAAGAACCTGGGTCTGGAGCAGTTGCCACCATTGAACAGAACAAGGTTGCTGTTGGGACATTGAGCTGGCTGAAAAGGTATTCAGATGAAAACTATTTTTCACATGATGTATGGGAATATTTGTTTCCTTTCTCTAACTGCTATTTCGCATAAAAGGATGTTCTATTATCTTTTTCTTGCATCTTTATGGGGTACACAACTGGATTCAACTTCTATTCAATAATTTAAATATTGATGAAGCATATTCCTCAAGTCCTTGTGAAATATAACACGACTATTTTCATCTTGAGCCTGTTCTCATCAAAATGGGGTTGACCACTGAAACTGACTTTATAATTGGAAGACTGTGTATGATTCTGCAATTTTTTCTTATTGGATGTCAACCTGAAATTCAGCTCTGAGTTTTGATGTTATCCCCAGTCAAGGTAACTATCGACAAGACAGGACCTGTTAGAGCACCTAGCAACCCAGTTTGCTGGGAGGAAAACCTGCTTCATCAGTCATTAGGGGTGGAAACTAATCGAATTTGATCGACTACCTTAAATTTGAATTTGAATTCAGTTTACTCCAGCGAATTCAAATCCGAATTGTGTCGAACGGGTAGAAGGTTTTCAAATTAGATTCAGTATATTAACTAGATATTCGGTAAATATCGACAGTTTATACCAGTCGTAGTGTAATAATCACGAATATTTGTTAGCACACTTGGTTAAGGAATTCGATTCTTAACCCTGAAGTTAAGTGTTCAAATCCTATATTGGTATATTATTTGTTTTATTTTCTTTTTACATGTTGCATAATTACTCAATGATTATTATGATATGTTACTACTAAAATTATTAAATTCATATATTTATAAAATATTAATTTATATATTTATCAATATTAATATTAACATGAAAATTAGTATAATGTAATAATGTAAGCAGGAAAACATCTCATTAGATTTTAGATCTACATGAATTCATTTTCAATCGAACTTTTTTAGCAACTTAAGAATGTAATCTAAGCTAAAATTTGCATAAGAGTTTATTTCAATAGATATTTTGTTATGATATATGTTGACATGGTAAATATCTCAAGTGTAACTGTAAAAGATAAATATTCTATGATAGATTAAACTTAGAGGAATAAAATGTCAAACATAAATGAATATTTAATAATCAAATTAAATATACCTATGGTTTAATTCTATTCGTTTATGATCCAAATATTAAAAAATATTCGTTTACAGTTAAATGAACTATCGAGTCGAATATGACGGAATATCTGGACGAATAATAACCGAACAATTTACTAATTACTTTGTTCATTTCCACCCTATTGGTCATGCACTTTAAGCTCTCACGAGTCACATGACTAAGGACGGCCATCAAATATTCTCCTAGACTTAAGAGGATCTGGAAGAAAGGCTGAAGATGATAAAATTTCTGTTGAGAAACAATTTAGCCTGAGGCATGATATAATCCAGAGAACTAACTAAAAGGCATTCTGGAATCAAATAGTATTTATGATTGGAATATGATAGTAATGTATATGCTACTATATTATGAGAAAATAATATGGGTTGCCCAAAATAAAACTTTGAGAGTTATTGTGTGCATGCATCTGGGTAGGTAGTAAACTGATGACTATCTGCATTTTGCAGGCATGGAGTTGTTCACAATCCATTTCCCGATGCAGAGCTTGATAACCAGTCTGTTGTATATGTAGGAGTAGATGGCAGTTTGGCTGGAGTTATTTACTTTGAGGACAAAATCAGGGAAGATGCTCGTCAAGTTGTTGAAGCTTTGTCTAAGCAAGGACTAAACTTATATATGCTTTCTGGAGACAAGAAGAATACTGCTGAATACGTAGCATCACTTGTTGGTATCAGCAGAGACAAGGTACAAAACCTTGGTACAGCTTTGCATATGGTGCTGCTTACCCCTGTTTGTTTGAACATTCTGATTTTTTCCTTAGACAAAATCCATGGGCTAATACTTGTGGCTTGACTCATGAGCATGCCATAGCAATCACAAATTGTACTTGGTCAAACCTTAATAGGTATTTGTTAACAGTAATTTTGACTTTTTGACGAACAGAAGGGCATCACATGTGTATAATCTCACTGAAGATCCCATCACATGTAATGTATCATAAACGTGAAATACTGTTTTTGCTACCTTTTTTATTTCTTGCCCTTTATAGCTTGTGACTTTCCTCACAAACATACTTCACGAGGAATTTTTTTTCTGGAAGCAGGGCGGTAAGAAATGTGAGAGCATATTTAAAAAATTTGTAAAAGTTTTCAACTATGAAGGAGAATCTCCTTGTTGTTAGCGACCAGTGTCATGAAATCATTTAACTAATTGGATTTGGAACAAGGAGGATAGAGGGGAGTTATCTGAAAGAATTGCAGATCATTCAAAAGGAAAATATTAAGAAAAGATAGTTATGCACATAGATTTCAGAATATGAAATTTGAGATTCATTGAGATTTATGTAAAATCCGAAACATGCTACTCAGGTTAGTTTGATTCATCCTGTATGTCATATGCTTGAGTGTACTTGGCCTGCCTCCATTTGTCATGGTGCATGATTCTAAATCATTTAAAGCATAATCATTTGTCATGATGCATGATTCTAAATCATTTAAATCATAATCGAATGTATTTGGCGTGCTTCCTGTCATGTGCACGAGAAATGATAATTAATTTCTAGTTCCACCTCTTAGTCCGTGAATCTCAATGTAAAATCCGAAACATGCTACTCAGGTTAGTTTGATTCATCCTGTATGTCATATGCTTGAGTGTACTTGGCCTGCCTCCATTTGTCATGGTGCATGATTCTAAATCATTTAAAGCATAATCGTTTGTCATGATGCATGATTCTAAATCATTTAAATCATAATCGAATGTATTTGGCGTGCTTCCTGTCATGTGCACGAGAAATGATAATTAATTTCTAGTTCCACCTCTTAGTCTGTGAATCTCAATGTAAAACCCGATCTTAGTCCGTGAATGCTTGATTTTTTCTGTGGTTTTGTACCTATATATATCTGGATGCGGCATTGGTTTCTTGCTATACTTGTTTCCGGCAAGTATGCTGAGCAAGGTGAGTTCTTCAGAGTAATTAATATGTTAGACATCGACTGTTTGCTAAATGCTTCTACTATTTAAGTGGTTTACATTACATTAGAACGCGGGGGGTTGGGGGGATCTTCAGATCTTTAATTTTCTGAATCATTGCATCACCTGATTTGATTTCTTTAGTTGGACAATGTTTTCTCATAGTTTTAACTGTTTAATCTGCATAGGTGCTTTCCAGGGTCAAGCCTGATCAGAAAAAGAAATTCATCTGCGAGCTTCAAGAAAGTCAAAAGGTGGTTGCTATGGTTGGTGATGGCATCAATGATGCTGCTGCATTGGCTGCTTCTGATGTTGGAATTGCAATGGGTGAAGGTGTCGGTGCAGCTAGTGACGTCTCTTCTATAGTGCTCATGCGCAACAAACTATCTCAGGTTCTGGAAATTCTTTTACCAATTGTAACGCTTTTTTTATTTGATTGCCTATATATCTTTGTGATCACCTCTTTCTTTTATTTTCTTACCTTATTTTGTGGAAGAAGCCATAGCCTAGTTTTAAACCATAGACCTCCTGTTACCCAATCCCGTGTTTTACCAATGAGCCAGACCTCACTGGCTAGTTACTTTCTCTCGTTTCTTCAATTTCCACAATAGTTAGCTCATTTGATTCCTCTTGTCGTATTTTCTTGTTACTGGTAGAAAGGCATGTTCTCAACTTATACTAGTCAGTGCCCATTTAATCTTGATATTTCTAACTATCTTTTGGTGTTTCTAACTGTTATTTGATACAAATAATTAATTCTTAAGCTGTGTGGATTTTCTCTGCAACTATTGCTTCCATGTTAACTAGAACATAATTCAACCAAAATCACACTCTTTACTCTTTATATTGATTTCGAATATTTCATCTTGATTTTCCTCTCGCTAACCCTACGTTGCCGTCCATGTGGGGGTTGGTGTCAGCGGCAAACCCCATCCCCATCTCCTTATTACCTGAGCCCTCTCTCGTTGTCTCTAATGGACACCACACCCCTCCCCCATCATTGTTAGCGCAAACAACCCCTCCCCATCATTGATGGTTGTGACAGCGACAAATGAGTGAGAGAGCTGGGGAGGGAGGACTGACTAATTGCTTAAGATTTGAGTTAATTAATTAATTATAATTATTTTAAATTGAGGTACCTTAGTCATAATTAGTTGTCCCTTTGTACGGACAAATTTTCAAAACCGTTCTATTTGTAAAAATAATCCCAAAAAACGATCTAGTTTCAAAATATTCTTCAAAACCGATCCAGTTTTAGTTGTTGGGCTGCAACTGGGTTGGTTTTGAAGAAAAACTTACGAAACTTCACGGGACTTGAAGTCCCGTGAAATTTAGCAGGTATTTAACCAAGCTGCTAAACTCGTGAACTTTCGTAGTTCAAACAAACTTCACGGGACTTGAAGTCCTGTGAAGTTTGTTTGAATTTATTTTCCTCGCAGAAAGCGGCCGAGATATGCGCGGGTTGGAGTTCAGCGCGGAGGTGGGTTACGTGGAGTTCCTCACACGTGTGAAGAGGGCTGAGACCGAGGCACGTGCTAGTGTACCCTCTAGTTAGCAGCAAGTAGAATATTCTGAAGGATGAGGTTTTGAAGGATGGGATTAGTGGGCCCATGTTAGTGTACCCTCTAGTTAGCAGCAAGTAAGTACATATATGTTTTTATGTAAATTTGTTGAGAAGTCGAGGGGCTAGTTGCATAATTTTAGAAGTAGAATCGCGTGGAATTTTGGTCACTTTAATAAACTTCACGGGACTTCAAGTCCCGTGAAATTTATTAAACTGTGAAACTTCACGGGACTTGAAGTCCCGTGAAATTTAGCAACTTAGTTAAATGGCTGGTAAACTTTACAGGACTTCAAGTCTTGTGAAGTTTGAGACCTTTTTTCGCCAAAACCGACCTGGTTTCAGCCCCAGGACTGAAACCAGAAGTTGAAACGGGTTGTTTTTGGGGAATATGTTTGCAAATAGGACGGTTTTGAAAATTTGTCCCCCTTTGTACTTGACAAAAACTCTAGAATATACACAAAATATTTCCTAACAGATCATTTTTAGGGGGGTTTGTTTTGTTTCTTTGTTTTGTTTTTTGGGGTTTTCTTTTTTTTTTCTTTGGTGGGGGGTGGGGGGTGGGGGGTAGTGGTGGAGCAGTTAAACCACATTCTCAGAATGTGGTGGTAATTTAACAAATCGTTGGATTCCAGTGTAAATCTGAAAATAGAGGAAAATTTATTTATTTATTACTTTTAATAGTTTTTTATGGGGGTATGTAGGTAAAAGAACCCTTGGGTTTATGCTTGCTGGCTTTGGTTGTTGGTTGTTTTGATATAAAATTGACATGTCCTTTAAATTACTTCATTAACGATTTTGCTTTACATAGTATCATCATTGTTAGTTGTGCATGCATTCTTGTGTTCTTGCAGATTAGTACCATCATGCTTTTTTCACACTTCTTTGGCCTCCTTTTCTTGTTCTATATGTCACTGAAATTCTTTTGCAGGTTATTGATGCGCTAGAATTGAGCAAGCAAACTATGACTACCGTGAAGCAGAATTTGTGGTGGGCATTTGCATACAATATTGTAAGTCTGTTTTTAAGCATGTTAAGCAAACAAGCTCTCTTAGTAAATAACTTCAGCTCGTATACCATGGTCTTGAGAGGTTTGACTATTTGACTATATAAGTTACCAACTGCTCGCCCTAAATGAGTTCGTGTCTTTGCCTTGTATGGTAAGTGTACCATCAAATCTTATTGAAAACTAACTGAAATGCCTAACTTCATGAAATGAGGGAGCAACCTTAAAGTTTCTCTAGTAAAGGAAAGAATCTCAAGCATGGACTGAGCTGTTGCTATCGAGAATTAGAGGACTTCTCAAGGTACTGGTGCAACTAAGGCCCCTAGTGTAATGCCTTCGTTCAAGAGGAAAATCAAAGTAGCTTCTCAGTTTAACGGATCATAGATGTAGACAACACACGCGTGCACACATACACGTGCGCACACAACGTACCAGTCACCACGGATGGCTTGGTTTCACCATCATTTATCTCTTGGTTGCTCATTTAACAAAATGAGTTGTCACTTCATTACCATCAAATCCATGTATATGCATATACATTCATACATATGTATATCTATGTATATATTTATAAACACAACACACAAGGTACTAGTCACATCGTAAGAATGGGCCTCGCCACTCCTTTTCTCACAAGTCTTGAATAGGCAGAGGCATTTCATGTGTCGCATTGGGAAAATTGACTTGATACCATTGTGGACCAGCCCTTTTTATTAAATAGATAGAAAAATAGTTCAAGGTTACAAGTGTACCCAACGTGGGACTAAAACACTAAACAAAGAAAATAAAGACTTAATTTGACAAAACTGAATTTGGTAAGAAAAATCTATGCTACCCCAAAGTTTTCAAGTTGACGTTAATTTGACAATTGGATACCTCAAAGCCCCAACTTTGATTCTCACTTTCGCTAATCTCAAAAAAACTGAATTTGGTAAGAAAAATTATTTATGTCCGATTTTCTCTGTTGATATTTTTGAACAAAAATTGATGTCAATTTTGTTGCACTTTGGGGTATCAAATTGTAGATAGAACTCTGAACTTCAGGGTATCAAAGTTAAGAAAGGTTGAAACTTAGGGGTATTAGAGGGCAAACAACTTTTTTAGATGGTTGGAAGAGAGTTCTTCGCATGTTTGTGGAGAAATTGCTATGCAAATGCATATTTAATAAAATTGGTTAGTGGATATGCACAATATCAGTGTGATTAAATTTTTGGCCCAAAGGTGGCACAGCTGAAATTTCAAATACTAACACCTTTACGCAAAAGTGTCCATTGGAACTTTTCGGGATTTACACTATCTTGTTTTATATGACCTGGAAGCTTACTGTATTGGGGAAAAATAATAAATATATTTACTCAGGTTTTAATGTTTTAATTCTTCAAATTAATTTTTTGCAGCTGATGTCCTTGTATATTTATTGATCAACTTGAATGGTTTTTAGGTTGGAATACCCATTGCTGCAGGAATACTGCTACCTGTAACTGGTACGATGCTGACTCCATCCATTGCAGGAGCTCTAATGGGTTTGAGCTCAGTTGGAGTGATGGCAAACTCATTGCTCCTGCGGCTCAAATTGGGCTCGAAACAAAAAATTATGAGTGAGCTGCAACAGAAACCCAGACAACTTTCTGTCTCAGATGTTGTTCTGGACATAAGCCACCAGCCGGAGAGAACTCAATCTGCAAAGTGGAGGAGTCCCTGATTCATAGCAAATGACTTCAACACGGAGTGCAGAAGACTCTCCGAAGACAAATTTCTTTAACAAGGGAGAAGGCTGCATGGGACTCAAACCCCTCGCATAGCCTTACCAGAATTATCAAATTCATCCCTTCGCTTTTCAGCAGAAGTTCCATATTGTATGTTTTTGCTGCTGGTTTATTTGGCCATTGCTCCCTCAGCCTCACATCAACAGATCATAGATGGCATGAATTTACTCATTATTTCTTATATATGTTATATGACATGATATACGAAGAAATTATGTAAATTAAATGATCAATAATAAATCATTATGCGGGTGAGCTGGACAAAACAGAGAAGTCCTTGGAGAACTGCAAAGCTTGTATCTTTTTGGTTATTGGATTTCATTAAGGGATGTATTTCACTTTAATTCAGCAGATTCTACTTTATCTGAACATTCTACTGAAAACTAAAAACCTCAGGCAACATGTTGGTTCCATGAGATTGAAGTTGCATATGATCGTCATTACTCCTGTTATGTTCTATTCATATAGGACGAACGACTTGATTATTCTCATTCGACACGTGGGATATTGTTCTTGGGTAGTATCATTCAATTGATTTTGCAGTTACCTGAAGATTCGTAGTCTTGATGCTCTGATTAAGGGATGATAATGAAAACAGACGAAATCCATGCCAGGTTAAAACAAAAGAGGAATTCAACCGGCCTCCAAAATTTGGGAGAAATGTTCAGTCACCTTTGTTACTTGTTAGCGGCTGATTCTGAAAATGCTGGTTGTGAAAAGTAAGGCGATAGATAACCAACAAAGTTCCGATGTTTATATCTACCTAGTGTCCTGTCACTAAAGCTAAAGACAGGACGCAAATATTCGTTCTCCCTTGATCGTTATAACTTCTCCTTCGATCTGAGCTGAAGACTGAGCAAGGAAACAAAGAAAACAACAATTACAAGAGAACGCTGCAGTTCCAATCGACAATGTACCGTATTCCGCGTTATTATTCATCATTAGCGAGGGTAACTTCCTTTCGACGAATATAGAGTTTTGGAATTCCTCAATATGAATTTCAAGTTCTGACCCTCAAAACTAAAGATCTTTAGGCGCCTGAATCAATCCTACTCCACCCGGTTTTCTTGATCAATCCTTTCTTATCCATCAACCTTCTATACTTTGTCACCTCTTTCCAGTTCCCTAAAGAAGCTTGTATGTTAGCCATTAACACATAATTTCCACTGGTCTCCTGCTCGGATTCGAATATAGCACATAACTCCCCATTGTGATGAGGTCTGCTTCCATTAAGCAAAGGCCCCCAGACGTGCCTCTGTGCTTCAACTGGCAAAGGCCTGATAAGGTTCAAAGCCAAATCAAAATGCCCAGCTCTACCAAGCAAATCGATCACACACGAGTAATGCTCTACTCTAGGCTCTATTCTGTAATCCCTCTGCATTCTCTCGAAACATTCAAGTCCTTCCTCCACCAAGCCACCATGACTACAACCAGATAAAACGCTGGTAAACACGATTGCATCTGGCTTAATAGTTTCTTCCTTCTCCAATTCCTTAAACAGTGCAAGAGCCTCTTTTCCCTCCCCATGATGAGCATATCCATTGATCATTGCACTCCATAGAGCTAAGTCCTTCACTTGAACTCGATTGAATATCTCTTTTGCTTTTTCTATGCAGCCACATTTGCAGTACATGTCAATCAGTGAGGTCTGAACTCTTAAATCGGATTCCAGCCCGTTTTCTTTAGCATACTCTCTAACACTCTCGCCTAGTGTGAGGGAACCAAATCCAATACAAGCTGAAAGGATGGTGACAATGGTAACTGCATTTGGCTTAATGGGAGAACGAAGGAATAGCTCAAAAATATCCATTGCTTCAGTTGAATTACCATTTAGAACACAGCCGCCAATCATCGAGGTCCACAGCGAGACATCCTTCTCATTTATGGAATCGAAGACTTTTCGGGCTAAGAGTAGATCGCCACACTTGGAATATAGATTAACCACAGTGGCAGCAACCATAGGTTCATGATCTAAAGCATGTTTAACTAGAAGAGCATGGACGGAGCTAGCTATTTGTATATTCGCCAACAAAGCGCAAGAAGAGATAAGATTGATGAATACAAGTGAGTCTAACTCTATGTGGTCTCTTCGCATTTCACTAAAGAGATCAAAAACTTTGGAACAGTCCCCATTCCTTAAATATCCACTCATGATGGTAGTCCATGTAACTTTCGATCTTTCCTCCATCAATTTGAACAAAGAACATGCAGCATCAACCATACCATACCTAACATACATACCCATTACTGAATTCACAAAACACAATCCAGAATCGAACCCAACTTTAATCCCATAACATTGCATCACCAAACCATATTGAAGAGCCAATTCAGAGCCAGGGCATCCCGAAACAAGGCTAACCAAAGTGCTCGAATCTGGTTCAATACCAACTCGTCGCATCTCATTAAAAACTTCAAAGGATCTTTTAACTTGACACTTACGAGTATAAGCAGAGATCATGGAATTCCAAGAAACCAAGGTTCTTGCGGGCATTTCATCAAAAACTCTGCTTGCGCTCTCCAAATTAGAGCATTTCGAGTACATATCAAGCAATGAAGTTTGAACATAGGGATCAGAATGAAAACCCAATAAGATTGTGTGGGCGTGAATCTTTTTTCCATCTGAAATTGAGTTTAGTCTAGCGCATGCTTTGGCTACGAAGGGGAAGGTGAAGTTGTCGCCATGAGTGTTGGTTTTGAGCATGGAGGAGTAGAGGTTGAGGGATTCTGAGAAGAACCCATTTGATGTTGAGGCTTGAATCATTAGATTCCAATTTCTCAGAGATTTGGAGTTCATTGGGGTTTGAGAGTTTGATCATTGTGGTTGGCTGCTTTCAATAGGAAATTGATGCAAAAGCTGAAGTAGGGCTCTGTTGATCGAAGTTAATTTCAGGCAAAATTTTTGAGATCGACCCATTTTAATATTTATTCATAAAAATAGGCCCATTCCAATCTTTATCTATCTATATCTTATAGGACAAATTTTCAAAACCAACCCTTTTAGACATTTAATTGCAAAAACCGACCCTTTTTCATAATAATTGCAAAAATCGACCTGTTTTCAGCCCAGCGCTGAAAACAGGTCGGTTTTTGTAAAAAATCTCCGAAACATCACGGGAGTTCAACTCCCGTGAAGTTTATGGAGAAATTAAACTTCACGGGAGTTCAACTCCCGTGAAGCTTAATTTGTGCTTAAAACTCCACGGGAGTTCAACTTCCGTGGAGTTGCAGTCAACAAATCCAGAGAATCGATCTCTGGAAATTGTGACTGCAGCTTCACGGGAGTTCAACTCCCGTGAAGTTGCAGTCCACAATTTGCCAGAGATCGAGTCTCTGGAAATTTGGCACTGCAACTTCACGGGACTTGAAATCCCGTGAAGTTGCAGGTCACCCAGCATGCATAGCTGCTGTGCTGGTTTTGTATATTTACCTGTAACTCATATATATGTCAATTTATTTGCAAACAACAATATATACATGATTCAACAATGAATTATAACTCATATATATGCCAATTTATTTGCAAACAACAATATATACATGATTCAACCATGAATTAAACACACACGATTATGTATATGAACAACAATTTATCTTCAAAAGTTTAGTATTTGAAAATTCAGGAAAGTTACAAAATTTATCAAAATAAGTTCATATACAACCCAATATAGCTCCCCTCCTTCCTCTCCCTCTCTTCCCCCTCCCCCTCGCTCTTCCCCGCCCCCTGGGTTCCTGCTGATGAGCCTCAACTATACTGTAGTATCCGCGCTGCTGCTATGAAGCCTGCGAAGTGCCGGCTCCACCTCGACTATCGGCGAAGTTGCGTGCTTCGGCATGCGAAGTGCCGGCTCCATCGGCATGCGAAGTGCCGGCGTCATCATCACGCGGCCGTCGACGTCGAGCGTACGCCCGTCCAAATGAGCGAGACCTGTCCTCACGGCCTGCGAACTCGTCGACGTGAGTCTTATGGAACACCTGCGCTATGCTCTTCTTGATCCTGCTGAGGAGACCTAACGCCACCTGATCCTGAATCTCAGTCACGTGCGCATCAATATCAGCATCAATGCTATCTAAAACACGGACCTGCGTGGTAAACAATTTATTAAGTATCAACTCAATAAAAAATATTATAATTTAGCTTAGAAACTTACGTAATCTCTCTCGTTCATCCCACTAGGGATGTAACTATCTGTCGGTGGGCGTGGCATGTGTCCAGCTAAAGGCTGTGGGTCACGCGTGATCCATCTACGTGTGATACCCCAATACCAACGCATATACGTGGTATAGTCAACAGCTGTGGGCCTCGTATCCTGTATGCAATCCCACCTCTGAACCCACCTGCCTATGTAGTCCGCACGGACTACGGCCCAGTCAGTCCGGTGCGATGTAGGGCGCCGCCGACGATTGATCTGCTCGACAGGATCTGGAATATGCTGAGAGAGTGTAAACTGCCGTAGCACACGGTCCGGTACATGCATCTCTACGATCTCCCAACAGATCAATGGAACTCTGGCTCTCCACAAGTCGGGACTATCTCGACAGATAGGTGCAAGAGAATGTATATCGAGCTCCGGCGGTGTATAGGGTCTCCACTTGAACTGAAATAAAATAAAACATTTATCAGTATCATACAGAAAAACTATAATATTCATACTTCTTGAGTTTTATATTTACCTGTTCATGCTGGAGGCCATCAAGCTCATTTCGGTAAAACTGACGGTGACGCGTCGCTGATTTGTACTGAGCGTATCACACGTTATACCTATATGCAGAATAGCGAATATATAAGTACAAATATTCAGGTTACGAATGAAATATGTGTGTGTACAATTATACCTGTATGCCAACGGATACTGCCCCTCTAAGTCACGGTGCATAAGTAAAGTGGGTCGTCCAATATGAATGCGCTCCCATGACCAAATCTGTATCAACGTACAGCATCCCTTGAATTCTTTATTCTGCATCAGAGATACTCTACTCAATTCTCGATACAAATATGCCAACACCGCACTGCCCCACGATAGTGCCCCGCATACACCAAAATCCTCCAGCAGTGGCAGCCATCGTGCATGTACGAGAGTCTTGCTCGCATCAGGAAATAGTACGCACCCTATCATGTGCAATATGTATGCACGAGCATGAAACTGGAGCGTCTCATCAGAGGCATCCTCTGGTATGTCGCCCTGAAATGTCTGACGAAGCCACGATAGCTTCATCGCACCACTCCTCAAGTCGGGAACCTGTCCAAGTAGCCGGGCACATACCTCCGGCCAACTATGATCGTCGGTGCCCGTAACTACCGGTCCATCAATCCGGAGCCCAAGTATGACGGCCACGTCCTGTAAAGTGATCGTGTACTCCCCTATATGCATGTGAAAGGTATTGGTCTCTGGCCTCCACCTCTCAATCAAAGCAGTGATAAGTGGCCAATCAAGCCTGATATAACGAATCGTCGAACACGGTCGAAAACCGGCCTGAGCGATCAAAGCTAGTACCCTCTCATCCTCTATGACCCATGCCGAATGACTATGGGAATGCTCGATCATCGTGAACTCTGGTACGGGCTGCACATAAAACGAGAATCAGTTTTAAGTATATTCATTAAAAAATTACATTAATCGAAGAAATATATATCTAATTTATTCGTATTACCTCTCCCGAACCAATATGGTCTGAACAATGACTCGCCTGAAGGTACAAAACGTCGGGATTCTCCGGTCCCGGATCCATAATGAATAGACCTGTGATTAAAATATGAGCATATATACAGAGTGCAATGAACACAGTATCATACATAACATATTACAAATAACGAGTATCATACGCTTCAAAGATAACAACTACGAATGACATAAAGCCCACTATCATACGCTACATAATACAACTCAACGCCTAATACTAACTGGACACCTATTTTTGTTGTGACCCGGTTGATCACATCTACTGCACTCAACTTCAGGATCCTCCAACATGCGGGAATACATTCCTTCGTAGTTCAACGATTTGCCCAAATCTCTCTGATGTTTTTCAATGAACAATTCGACCGAACGCTTCTCGTCATGTAAGACATGAATGAGACCCATATCGCTGATGTTTTTCAATGAACAATTCGACCGAACGCTTCTCGTCATGTAAGACATGAATGAGACCCATATCATAGTCACTTGATATTTTAATGCCACTTGTTCTGTTCTCCACAACAGGATAATTGCAAACCACACTGAGGTGATACTCACGTGAGTTAGTTAATGTAAGTTTGTGTAATTCATTAACCAAATCATCGAAAGTACACGATTTTGTTATGAACAACGGTCTCGTCGTGCCTCCTTCATAAACGGGCATATTATTCTCGAGGTAATTAATCTTCCCATCATAAGAACAGAGAATTACAATTCGATCATTCATCGTTACCTCTGAAGAGTGAAAAATTCAATATCAATATTACACGAAAAGCCAAATAAATATTGATTGTTACTAATTTTTACATTTAGGTAGTAACTCTAATTTCCACATTAATTGATAATTTCACCTCTAAATACGCAAAATTATTTAATACGTCTTCACAAAATTCGTAAATAATTCACAATTAAATTCTAAAATCTAATTTATATCATACATATGCAAAAATCTAAAATCTTATTTTTCTTCACAAAATCTAAATAATTCACAATTAAATTCTAAACTCTATATACAATAATTTTCGAAATTATTGATAATTTTTCCTCTAATTTCACAAAATTATTATAATTTACACACTAATTCTTCACAAATATCACAAAATTATTGATAATTTTCCTTCTAATTTTCACATTTCCTCTAATTTCACAAAATTATTGATAATTTACACACTAATTCTTCACAAATATCACAAAATTATTGATATTTTTCCTTCTAATTTTCAAATTTATTGATAATTTTCCCTTTAATTTTCACATTTATTGATAATTTCCAATCTAATTTTCACATTTCTTCACAAAATTCGTAAACAATTCACAATTAAATTCTAAAATCTAGATTTCTACATGTAATCACAATCAAATAGTGGGAGAATACAAAAATTAGAGGGTATAGCTTTTTTAGAAAGAATTTACCTTTTTTTTTGAAAATCTGACTGAGATCCGGTCGGAGGCGGCGGTCGGAGGCGGCGGCGCCGGCGGCGGTCGGGATCTGGGGCACTGGCGGGGGTCGGAGGCTGGGGCGGCGGCGGTTGGAGGCTGGGGTGGCGACGGAACTGGGAAGCGGCGTTTGGGAACGAAGTTGAAATGTTAGGGTTTGTGGGCTGGGGTCGGGGGGGTCACGCGCGCTTAAATAGGTGGCAGCAAACTCCACGGGAGTTCAACTCCCGTGGAGTTGCAGTGCCAATTTTCCAGAGACTCGATCTCTGGAAAATTGGCACTGCAACTTCACGGGAGTTGAACTCCCGTGAAGCTGCAGTCACAATTTCCAGAGATCGATTCTCTGGATTTGTTGACTGCAACTCCACGGGAGTTGAACTCCCGTGGAGTTTTAAGCACAAATTAAGCTTCACGGGAGTTGAACTCCCGTGAAGTTTAATTTCTCCATAAACTTCACGGGAGTTGAACTCCCGTGATGTTTCGGAGATTTTTTTACAAAAACCGACCTGTTTTCAGCGCTGGGCTGAAAACAGGTCGGTTTTTGCAATTATTATGAAAAGGGGTCGGTTTTTGCAATTAAATGTCTAAAAGGGTTGGTTTTGAAAATTTGTCCATATCTTATATTAGGGCAAGGGTAGCAAACTCCCACCGCCCGCTCTCAAGGCCTACGTGGCGGTGGGAGCTCACAGCCTACCTCTCAACGCTCACAGCAAGCTCCCAGCGGGTCTCGGAAGTCCTGCGTGACTGATTTTTTTTGTGGTGAGGCCTACATCCGCTCCCAAGCGCTCCAAAACTTTGTGGAGCACTTGGGAGCTCCGAACGTATATTTTAATTTTTTACCCCCCAAAAAACCCCCTTATGGATGATGCCAATTTGACTGTCAAAAAATTCAATTTGAAAGAGCCATTGGTGAAGGTTCGGAGCCGTTGGCAAAAAATTCAATAAAAAAGGAACAATTAAAAAAATCCTATAAATTCTCAATTCACCACACAAGATAATTCCACACAACTCTCTCATAAAAAACTCTATAATTTCCTATCAAATTACAAATCTCATGGATTCCTCCCAAAACTTCTACTCGCAACTCCTCACTGGTGAAGGTTCGATCTTCTATCCATCGTTCTACACAGACGTTGTAGAAGAAGGTCACCCCATCAATGAGTTCTCACAATCGGCAACACAACAAGTGGCATCCTAAGAAACATCGACCACAAAGAAGAAGAATGCTTACACACGGTCCAGAAATTGGACTATCCACGAGGATAAGCTTCTCGTGTCTGCTTGGCTGAACACGAGCCAAGACGCCATACAAGGTACGAGGCAACACAAAGATAAGTTTTGGCAAAGAGCTAGCGACTAATTTATCCAATACTCCACTGATCCAACGAGCCGCACATCAAACCAAATGATGCATCGTTAGTCAACAATAAAACTGTCAGTCAACAAATTCTGCGGGTGTGTTTCTCAGATTGAAGGAAGACAAAGATCTAGTACGAGAATTATTGACCAGATAAATATTTAACTTATATGCTTTTATGTAAATGCCATAGCATCATATTTTTAATTATTGAAAATTTAACGATTGTGTAGACTGCAAAGTAAAAGAATTATACCAATCTCTTTATGGTAAGCCATTCATGTTTGAACACTGCTGGGTTGAGTTGCGTCATCATCAAAAGTGGGTCCAAGAGATTGAAACTTACAATAAGATTCGATCATAGCTAAGAAGAACAAAAAACTTTGAATCCTCACCAAACAATTCCTACCCAGCAACCCCATCGATTTGAACACTAAATCGGATGATGTTATAGCAAGGCCTGAAGGGAGGAAAGCGGCAAATCTCAAGAGGAAACAAAATATGGAAAGCTCTGAGTCTACTAAGTCCATCATGGGAGAGGCTTTCGCGCGGATGAAGCAAACCACCAATCAAAAAATAGAAATGAAATAGAAGAAACAAGATGACGATATCATGAAGATGGATCTCTCAACACTCAATTCAGTTCAACGACAATACTTTGAAATGCGTCAGGCAGAGTTATTGGAGAAGTGGATGTCTAAGGATTCTTCCTAATTATCTTGCATTAGATTTATGATTGTACTTGAAGTTGAAAATTTTGGCATTGAATGAAAACAACTACTTTATTGAAAATAAAATTAGCGTAGTACAACAACTCGAACTTCTTTGCTAAAATTACATTAGACATAAAAAAACTTAATCCTCGGCGATGGACCCCTTGAGCTGCCACAGATGCTCGATCAAATCATTCTTTAGTGATTTATGTGTTTGCGTGTTCCTGATTCGATGATGATTTTGGATGAACTCAGTTAGAGGCACCGTCCGCACATGAGAAGGTTCAACGACTGGAATCGAATCAGTAAAGTCAAAGTTGTTATCCAATTAACAATCTTGTTCATCTTCAATGATCATGTTATGCATTATGATGCAAGCTGTCATGATGTCTTTCAGCACACTAGGTTGCCAGAAACGTCCTGGTCCACGAACAATCGCAAATCGAGCTTGCAACATGCCAAAAGCTCGCTCAACATATTTTCTTGTGCTCTCTTGTTGTTGAGCAAAGTACTTATGCTTGTTTCCTCGTGGTGCTGGAATAGTCTTTACTAATGTGGAACACTCTGGACAAATCCCATCGGCGAGATAGTATATCATATTGTACTTGTGACCATTGATAGTATAGTTGCATGGTGAAGCTCTTCCCTCCGCAAGTTGTGCGAAAACCGGTGAACGATGTAGAACATTGAGGTCATTGTGAGACCCCGACAGTCTAAAGAAGGCATGCTATATCCAAAGATCTTTGCAAGCTACGGCCTCCAAAATAATTATAGGTTCATGAAAATGCCCAGTATACATACCTTGCTAGGCGGTTGGACAATTCTTCCATGTCCAGTGCATACAATCGATGCTCCCAAGCATACCAGGAAAACCTCGTTGTGAACCTTCCTCGAGAAGGCATGCAACGTCTTCATTAGTCGGTGAACGCAGGTATTCCTCCCCAAAGATGTTGATAATTGATTGAACGAACCTCTTCACGCTCTCAAGCGATGTTCTTTTACCGATCCGAACGTAGTCGTCAACGGAGTCAGCGGATGCTCCATATGCGAGCATCCGCATAGCTGCAGTAATCTTTTGAAGGCTAGATAGTCCCAACTATCCAGCACCATTCCTCTTTTGGATGAAGTACTTATCATGTTCGACGACTGCGTCGTGGATTCGAAGGAAGAACGAACGCGTCATTCTGAATCTTCGATGAAAATAATGAAGAGGATAGGTTGGTGCATTAGCAAAATAATCTTGGAACAACCGATTGTGGCCTTCCAGTCGGTTTCGATGGAGCACGATACGTCTTTACCGATTGTGGCCTTCCAGTCGGTTTCGATGGAGCACGATACGTCTTTTGTGTTGAACTGAAGTTGAACCTTTCTCTTGTTCTTCTTCCTCGGAGCACGATACGTCTTTTGTGTTGAACTGAAGTTGAACCTTTCTCTTGTTCTTCTTCCTCGACGACAACTGCTCCCATAAGAAAGAACGTCTTCATCATTTCATCATCGTTAGAGCTAGATGAGCTAGACATTTTATTCTAGGAGATGATGAGTTAATGTGAGAAGGCATCGAATTTTATAGGAATCAGTCGATTGACGGTCAAAGTTTGCGATACCTTAAACTTCGTGCCCAACCTCGAAGACCGGGTTACCTCGAAGACCGTGTGCGTTTCCTCGAAGACTGCGGGTTACCTCAGAAACCGTGTGTGCTCCCTCGAAGGTTGTATCCAACGGTAGAAATGAAATAAAAGAGGTTTAAATATAATTAAAAGTGATGGGTAAAAAAATTAAAATAGAAGAAGGTTTTTTTTATATTGTTGGAGCTCCTAACTATGAGCTTGTTGGAGCTCCATAAAATAAGGAGGGCCTCCAAAAGCTTATTTTTTTAATTTTTTATTCTAAAATGCTTGAGAGCTCTTGAGAACTTACTGACTAGGACTCCCAACTAGGAGCTTACTAGACTTGCTCTTAAATCTCTTAGCATTGCATGTGCCACTTGGCAAATTTTCTTTTTTAAATTATTTTTTAAATTAAAAATTAAACTATATCCACATGTCAATCTCTTACGTGATGTTTTGCACTTAAACACTTCAAGATTTTTATTTATTACACTACTTAAATGCTATTCCTCTCGAATAAAGAGCAGTTGGAAAAGTGAACCTCATTATTTCTTGGGGAAATTGCTTCTAGCTCCTAATTTCCATACGAGTATTCCGCCCCCACCTAAGACTTTTTCAACGCTTCCAAAACCCCCAAAAGTAAAGTGATAATTCCCTGAGCCCCCAAAATACAAAACCCAAGTGATTAAAATATGTGAAGACCATAATACACTTTCTCTCTCTCTCTCTCTCATGATGTTACTGTGATGATTTAAAGTGAGTTTTGGGGGGAAAAATTCTAGTTCCCTCCAAAATTTTTCAACGGCGTCAACATCGGCGATAATACTTTTCCGACGTTTGTTCATGAGGTGAAGAAAAAGTCTTTGGGAAACTAAAATTTTTTGGCGGAATACTTGTAAGGAAACGACGGGAAAGTTTCACCGGTGGGAAGAAAATGACGTTCGTTCATCGGCGGAATACCTGTAAGGAAATCGATGACTTGAGATTAAAATAGAGTATGTAAATTTATATATTATTGTTATTTCACGGTACTAAGTTTGTTGTTAAGCTTATGAGTTGGTGGTGAAAAAAGGTAACATGTTGGTTTAGAAGGTTGCAGGTTGGTTGTGAATGATATCTATTGGTTGTGAAGGTGTTACAGGTTGGTTGTGAAGGATACGTGTTGGTTGTGAATGTTATCGGTTGGTTGTTAAGGTTACGGGTTGATTGTGAATGTTACGGGTTAGTTGTGAACCTCGGTAACCTCTGTAACCTTCACAACCAACCCGTAATATTAACAACCAATCCGTAACCTTCACAACTAACACGTAAACTTAAAAACCAACCCGTAACCTTAACAACCAATGTGTAACCTTCACAACCAACATGTATCCTTCACAACCAACCCGTAACATATTCACAACCGACGCGTATCCTTCACAACTAACCCGTAACCCCCAAGACAATCTCTTTTCTCCCTTCTTATTCTTCTTCTTTACAAATTTCATGAAAAAAATGAAGCAACAAAACTGCTGCTCATCATCATCATCATCATCATCTCCTCCCCTCTCATTCCCCTCCCTCTCCTCCCTCTCCGCCTTCCTAAAATCCTACATCCCCTTCGACTCCCTCTCCTCACGGGGCCTCTCCCCGGACATCAAAACCCTAAACAACCTCTACCCCGAGATCACTAATGACAAATACTCTCTCCTCGCCTCCCCTTCCCTCACCTACACTGTCAACGCGGCCATCCTCCTCATCAAGAACCCTACGGCTCTACTCTCCTTGAATCCCACCAACTCCTCTCTAACGGAACCCTAAGGAGTAGAAACCGCCCTTTGTCTGAGAAGATGACGTTGGGGGAGCCCGTCAAGGATGAAACGGTTTGCGCGATCAGGGAGGAGCTGGGGGAAAATGTCAGGGTCAGGGTCCTGATGGAGACGTACCGGGTGTAGGTTGACAAGGAGGAGTCTATTTCGTACCTGGGGCTGCCAGTGACGTATTTAGAGAGAGAGAGAGAGAGAGAGAGAGAGAGAGAGAGAGAGAGAGAGAGAGAGAGAGAGAGAGTATTATGGTCTTCACATATTTTAATCACCTGAGTTTTGTGTTTTGGGGCTCATGGAATTATCGCTTTACTTTTGGGGGTTTTGAGAGCATTGAAAAAGTCTTGGGTGGGGGTGGAATACTCATATGGAAATTGGGGGCTAGAAGCAATTTCCCCTCATTTCTTTCTCACTTTATTTTTTTTTGGTCAATGAAAAAAATTTATTCATTTACCAATGAGAGAAATGTATATACATCAAGATCTCAAAGCATTTGAGAGATCAAACTGAATACATTGATTACAGAGACTTCAAGAACTCTTCAAGAACTGATAGGTTTCACAAATCTTGCAACCAGTCCCGATACTCCTCCTGAATTTGTGAATTGAGAACAACAGATAGCATGTCCATCTTAATTCTCTTAATCAATTGAGCAACAGATCTTTGTTCCTGTTGAAAGATTCTGAGATTTCTCTCAGACCAGATATTGTAGATAGCAGCCGTCAATGCCATTCTTTTGATTCCCTGTTTGAAACCTTTTCCTCTTAACTTTGTACAAAACCACTCCAAGATAAGATCCTACTCGCACGATTTCCAGGAAAAATGAAGCCAACACATTATGCCATTCCAGACCTCAGAAGAATAATTACAGGAAAAGAAAAGATGGTTCCTGTTTTCCAGTTCAGCTCCTGAGCATAAGCAGCATGAACTGACATTTGTTAACCCTCTCTTTATCAGTCTGTCTTTAGTAAGTAATTTGTTCAAGACAGCAAGCCAACTAATAAATGAATGTTTAGCATAGCACAATTGATCCCAAATAGTATAATGCCATGGCACTTGCTGAGTAACTGGTAACAAATCATGGTATAAGACTGAGATATGAAATTTTGTGTTCCTGTAGCAAGTATTCAGCAATTGTAACAGATTATTGATCCCTTCTTTCTCACTTTAGCTAGAACTTTTATGGCTTACCGCCAAAGCAAGTGACAGTTCATCTTCTCTTAGGAAAAAACATTCATTTTTTCTCATTCTGGCATTTTAGTTCCTCACCCGCTCCTCCAAAATCCTGATTTCTCCTCCTCACTCTCTAAAAACTCTATCTATATCCTCTTCATAACTGGCACAATTCTTCTTCCCTCACCCGCCGCTCTAGACAGGAGGAGGTGCGCCCCGTTCCTCATCAAGCCAAGGTAATCATTTTAATCTCTTTTAATCTTCTCTACATTATTGTTCAATTAAGACCGTTCTAGGAGTTTTATTTCTAATAATCTTACTTAATTCATTATGATTTTAGGAAGAGTTAGGGTTTCCAGACTACAGTCTATTTTTATTAATTCGATGTAGGGTTTCGTTTTGTTTATTTTGATATTACGTGTTACATTCGAGTAAATTTTTTTTGGACTGAGTTATTCTTTGAGTTGTTGTTCATTGTGATAAGATTGTAACTAGCGACATTCTCATCATATGTTGTTGTTAATCTTAAGGTATATATTTTTTAAAAAAGATCTTTTTGCTAAATAATTAGCAAAATCGACCATTTTACTAATTATTTAGCAAAATCGAATTCTTTTTGACCAACAAGCCAAAAAGATGTTGATTTAAAAAAAAACACCCTGCTCAAAACATATGGGACTACTAGTCCCGTATGTATGGAGTGAACTAATCCAGGATTAGAACTTATCCAAAACATACGAGACTACTAGTCCCGTATGTTTTGGGTAGTGGATTCAGATTGACAGGCTGTCAGTTCCGAATCTCAGCGACCCAAACCACCCCTTTAAGCTCTCAACTCTCTCCCTGATCCTTCCGAACTCATCCATATCACATCTAGTACCCCTATTCATCTTCTCAAGCTCTTGTCTGAGCTCCTCCGTTGCTGCCTTCACAGTCTGATACTCGTACATCAGGACCCCTGGCCTCCCATTCATCCCCTTCGTCCCCCCCACCACTCTCTCTTACAGCCTAGAAACCGACGCCATGAATCCAGAGCTTTCGACCGGAGGAGCGTTCGGAGTCGAACAGTATGAAACGACACCGCATATCGAACCGGAGGTCCATCGGCTNGGCTGGATCCTCATCTCCACCAGCACCCCGTTCTCCTCTTCTAGCCCTAGGGCCTGCCTCCGGCAGCTTGACACCACCCTCATTGCCTAAATAGGAAAAATAAATTAATTAGAGTTGGTTGGCCGGTGGAAAAATCGCAGGCGGTGCGCGTGGGTGAGGTCGGAGATGGGGATGTTGATGATACCTGGCGTGAGGTGAGAGGTTAAGGGGGAGCGTCGGCAATCGTCCCATTGATAATAAGTTCTAATCGCGTAGTAGATCACTCAAAACATACGGGACTAGTAGTCCCGTATGTTTTGAGCAAAGTATTTTTTTTTAAAATTGATCTTTTTTGCTTGTTGGTAAAAAATAGGTCAATTTTGTTAAATAATTAGCAAAATGGTCGATTTTACTAATTATTTAGTAAAAAATATATTTTTAAAAAATTCTTAATTACTCTACTTGAAGTTAACTTCTTATAAATTAGCCTAGTTTTACTTTGATCCCCTCGACTTCTCCAAATTCTCTCAACCTAGAGCCCTACCACAAGTGCTCGATATCTGGAGGCTGGAGAGAACCTCAATCACGGTCCTCAGTTGCAGTGTAGGTAGGAGCATCGACAGCAGCGGCACCCTCTGGCTTCTCCATACCACCGGCCAATCCTGCTCTAGTTTTTTTCTTGAAGTTTGGTTTTAGGTAAGAGACCCACTTCAAGGTAATGGTAGCAGAAGTTTAAAGGTTCAATTTTTTATTTTTATTTTTGCTAATTTGGATTATTTTTCCGTTGTGGATTTAAATATGAGCTTTTCAACATTGGGGTTTTGCTTAATAATTATGTATGACTAGGAATACGTTGTGTTATTCTTCATGAAATTCTTAATATTTTGTGGGAATTTCTAGGATTTGAGCTTACCGTTTGTGATTCAGGTTTAAGCAGGATTGAGGAATGTCACGGTACAGGATGCAATCAGTGATGATGCAGTCAGTGTATCTAAGGATATAATTTCCTAGATATATTTACTTATTTTAGTAGTTTTAAAGTTCTTACTTTTGTGATTTGGATTTTCTTAGACATTTGAACTTTAGGTTATTTTCCAAAAAAATTTTTTGTCCAGTAATGTTTTTTTTATTTATAAATTTATGGATTTTATTATTTATGCTTTTCTTATTTTTGGTCACATAATTCAAAAATAAATTGGCATTGCGCACAGGAAACTTTAGAATTAATCACTTGATATTACACAATACACAATTAAAGTAATTAGATTTTGTCCATCTTTTTCTAACGCAGCAGATTAACATAATCCAAAAAATGTATGAATTCCTTCAACGTGGACAGTAAGCTAGCTTTTCTAATTATATTATTAATAATTTTTTTTGCTTCTTTGTTGACAAGTTTAAATGTGTTGATGGGAAAAAAAGTGTAGTTACATTTGATGTGAAATTCTACCTTACTATGAGTGAGTGAGTTTCTTTCTTACACTATTTGTATCCTAATTTCATAATACTTGCAGTTTGTAATAAATTTATGAAATGTTTGGGATAAGTGGGAATAAAAACCAGAGTATATTGCAATGTTGTCACACAATATGAACTCTTCCAATGCTTGATTTAGGCATCTATACATTGCTGATTCATGCTTATTTTCATGGTGACGTGTTTTCAGAATTAGTCATACATATACACTCTTGATTTAAGCATATTTCCATGATGATTTATTAAAATTTAGTTTCTGATTTGGGTTTTCCTATCATTGTATTCATCCCCTCCTTTTCATTTTGACTTCTTCAAGACATATGTTTTGCAGATTATTTAAAATTAACTGGGAAATTTCTAGAGATTTTTCCTTAGACATTTAATTGTAGTGAACATTTGAGAATTTTTCAATGACGGAGGATATATCATTAGATATAAAATTACATATAAAATAATATAAGTTTTTGTTTCTGAATGAAATATCACTTTTATTTACATATACTTTTTTAAGGTTGTCGAGATTTTGATTGCAACATTGTATCAAGTAAAAAATTTATTTATATCTTTTCACATTCCTTTTTATTACTAGGGTCATCCTATAATTTTCTTGTGCCTTTCATTTTTCTTTTATTTTCTCACTTTGAATTAAGATACACATGATCAACTTCCTGGGGCATGCTTCTAACTCTTTACTTCTTTCTAAGTTTGAATATAATTAAAGCATAAGCTTAAGACTACATATATTCAAGAAATTAATGTACATTAACTCAAACTAATTTCTGCCATGTATATCTAGATATCATTTAGTATATATTAAGAATCTTCCTCAAATTTTTGAATCAATGTTTCGAATAGTAAGGTTATAGGACACTCTACATGCTTGAGAACATAAAATTCAATAGTTGTTATTTGGCTAATTCATAGCATGAAATTATTTTGATGTGATTTTAAGTTTTAGATATATTTGTTAGTTCTATTTGAGTGTGTCCTAAAATATATGTGTATGTATTGGTGCATGCTTGTGTGCATGTTTGACAAACTCAAATTTTATTTTTCAATTCATGTATCTTACTGAGAGTTCTCTATCGTATGGGGATGTTCCGAAGTATAGATTTGATGAAATTGATAACATGCAACTTTGTAGGAACACGGTGATGGTTATGCAACATTTAGTGGTAGTTCCTTGAGAAGTATCTGGTGTTGGACTTGGGAAAGGAGGTGGATTGTTGGACATGATTCTGAGTTTGATTTGATGTATCAGTCTAACTAAAAGTTACCTATTTCCTTTTGTTTCAGTCATAGTATTGTTCAGTTGCTGTTACAAAATGGCTTTTAGTTTTCTCATTCTAATAGTGTTGTTATAAATAATTTAAATATTGCTTCATTGAACAAACTTTGTGAGTCTAATAGAGCTTAGTTATGAAACCACAGGATCCCGTAAGAATTTTTCCTGTAATTTATAGTAGCAAGACCTAGTACTTCCAAATTTATTAGTGTAGGTAGACATTCAAAGTCTGCTTCATCTTTCATTTTTGCATCTTCATTGGAGATCTTATATTCCTTATTTTGCTCACATATAAAAGCATATTTTAGCTTATTCACTTGAAGTCAAACAAATGGAGTTGTGTAAAAATTGAGAGAGCAATTGATAGTAAGGGCTGATAATTTATTAGATGATTTTGTATTTTCTTTCTTTATCGTTTTATAAGGTATTTTTTTAGTTATTTGTTTACTTAATTATCAATATCAATAAATGATGATTTGAGTTTGTGTTTTTATTGTTGTTTGCAAGATAAAGATTTGGAGTTTTGAACATTGTTGTTGGTTTGAACGCTCTAATGCACAAGACTTAAATCTGCTGGGTGAAAAAATGCAAGGTTGTACATTAAATGTTTGTAAAAATTAAATGACTGAAACATGACAGTAAATGCAACCAAACATGTTGCTTTTGGCTGAAATTTGACATAGTTGATGCATATGCGCTCTAATTTGACATAGTTGATGCTAATTTGACATATTTCATTTCTTCCATGAAAGTAGCTCTCTTAGGTTGTCATTTTTTTCTACTGCTGTTTTGGACTGTTATGGCTTTTTTCTACAGGTTGGTAGATTGCTCACTCTTTCATCAACAAAAGGAAGAAAATGAATACAAAAAGCAAAGACAGAGTTAAAGATTTTTCCATCTATAGAAGTGTATTTTTTCTTTTCTTCCTATATAATTATATTTTTCTATTTCAAATCTGTTTTTTTCTTTGTTTATTTTTATTATTGGTATTGATAAGTGATGAACTCAATATAATCTTACTAGAATGTATTTCTCATATATTATGTTTTGTATTTTTCTCCAATAGCAATGCATTTCACTTTCAATATTTTTGTTCCTTCTTATGTTTACATAGATTTTGTGAATTTGCATTTTATTTAACTAATTGTATACTTCTTATGTCGTATTCTTATGGTTTGATAATGTTCTTAAATTACAACCATGTACAATTTTCTTATACTGACTTTATTTGATTTAGGTATTGTATTATCTCTTATTTTTGTCAAGCACCTATTATATGATAGTGTAATTTTCTTATTTAAGGATGTAGTCTGTAATGTCCTATTATGTTCCATCTGATTATTTATAATTTTTCATTTGCTCCATATGTTAGTTATGCATGAGACATATTTTTTTAATGATTAGAGATTAGGCATGGGCAAAAGTAAGTGATAAGAAAAAAATCGTTAATTTTAAATTTTTTTAAATATGAAAATATTGTATCTTATCTACAATGAGAGTTAAATATTAAAACATTTTATCTTATCTACAATGAGAGCGTGCATTCAACAGTGATAGCGGATATAGAGAGAGGGATGATCATATGATTTTTTAATAGAGAATTATCTTTTCTTAAGTGTTAATTCTATTAGCTTTGTTCTCACTAAATTGGTATTGTGACTATGATATGAATCTCTTGCTAATTTATTTGTAATTAAGTATGAGACTTGCAACTAAATGATGATTAATTAAAATTTTTTGGTAGCATAAAATCGTAGGTATGTCCGGCATTAATCTATTTTGAAATTATTTCTACAAGCCCTATATTGGGCTTATCCATGCATCGCACGGGTCTGAAACTAGTTTTATTTATAAAAATAGAGTCAATTTTAGCCACGTCAGCATCATGCTGGATGTGTATTTATTTAAAAAAAATACAGTTTACTAATTAGTGAAGATAACTAAGTTCAAAATAGCATCAGTTGGCAACCACGACTATTTTTAAACCAAGTTCTAAATATCTGTAGTTGGCAACCACGGTTGTTTTGACCTTTGATATGCTTATTATGTAGGGGTGACAACCCCGTCTAATGTGTAAACTTTTTTTTAATCAACCCAGTTTCACCCAACAATACTAATGTGGTTGAAACTGGGTCTATTGTAAATAAAATTAAAGTGAGTCTATTTTTGTAAATAAATATGAAAATGGGTCTATTTTAAAAATTTCTCCTTATATTTAAGCAAATAGGACTTTGTGGTTAGGTCTTATTACCAAATGAAAACATTAGATACTTCTTTTGAGTATAAATCCTACCTCCTAAGAATTTTTTATTAAATAAATTACTATTCATAGGCAAATTACAACTAAACTATTCTTATTTTATTTTTAAATTAGTAATAATTAAAAGCACTTGATATAAAACAAAGAAACTAAAACAAAACAAAATAAAAGCTTAATAGAATAAAATGGGCTTTCTTTACCGAGACATATATTTGCTATTTATTTGTTTTTTAGGCATTTTTCCGTAAATACAAAACATCCTACTTCTTTTATACATAAAATCTATTCTTATCCATGTAACAATAGATTATAAAGACATTCCCATTCCATTGTTCAAAAACACGTTTGGAAAATCTTTCTTTCTTTTTCAGGATTTTTCTCAATAGCTTTCAGTATGATTTGATATTTTAATATCTCATTCATTGTTAGAGTTTATTCCCAAGTTTATACAGGGGGATATATGCTACTGTTTGTAGTAGTTTCTTTTGAACTTTAGTACATACTCTTGGTTGGGAGTATGAACTATTTTTTGTAACAACCAATTATATTTTAATTTAGTTGGCTGGAATACCTTTGGAGTGTTCCATCCTTTTTCTCAAAAAGAAAAAAAAATCTCATTCATTGTGTATTATATAATGAAACTACCTCTTACTTAGCGTCACAATGGCTCTGCAATGTGCAACACGTTCCGATAGAATCTATTCTCTACTAATTGTAAGGGCAACCATAATACTCTCTAGATTCACAGTGTCCTGCTTTAAACTTTCTTATAGCCCTAATTTTAAAAGGAAATTTGTTTTCTTTCTCCTTCATTTAATTAACGACTAGTATTCATCCCGTGCTAAGCACGACATCTTTACCAATTATTTGTGTGTGCAATCTTAAACATACTTGAAGTCCATATATAACCAATGATATATTCTGTGATATATGCTCACAACTGTACATTTAACTTCTCCGATCGAACTTCATCCTTAACCTTCACCAATCACCATACATATAAAAAAATCCATGCTGTTTACTTAAAGCAGGATGAAGAAAATTCAATTTTAAGCCAATCCCAGCAGCAACAAAAAATCCATGCTGTTTACTTAAAGCAGGATGAAGAAAATTCAATTTTAAGCCAATCCCAGCAGCAACAAAATAAAATACTTAGGATTTAGTATGCTAAACACCAAAGAGTTATTTTAACAATCTTAAATGTTTCACCATTATACATAGATGACATCTTGAGTTTGTGCTAACATATAATCAATCAATTAAATAAATTTTGCAAACATCACAACTTGAATATAATTCAGTGTATAGTAAACTTGCACCAGCAAGTTGAACTGCAGGATTAAAAACAGAAATTTGGATGTAAAAAAAAACAAAACAATAGATCAAATTTTGACTGTTTCACTTACGAAAGAACCCAGTTCCACTCTTTCATCATTAACATTCACCAATCACCATACATCTCAAAAATCCCTGATGGTAACTGCAAGCAGGATGAAGAAAATTCAAATAAAACAACCAAATAAAATAAAACACATAGAATCAAGAAGGATGAAGAAAATACCAGCAATAGCAAAAGAAAACACATATAATCAAGAAAGTTGAACTGTGGAAGCTGAAATTAATACTAACCTAAATAAGAATTATCTTGAACTATAATGTTGTTGAGGAAATTGATGAAGAAGCAAGTGTTTGAACTTCGTACTGACTTGTTGTAAAATTTTCTTCAACTATTTTTAGGCTGAATAGGAAAGCAATATATAAATTGGAAATTTGTGGAAGCAGATCAACTGAAATCTTCTTGTGGGGAAGTTGAGCGATGTGGCTAAGAAGAGTGGAAAAGTGTAGCAACGTGTCTGATGATGAGCAACATGGGCAACTTGATTGTGGAAGTTTCGAGCATAGTAGACGGTTGTGGGGAATTGCTTAGCATAATAGATAAAATTTTGACTGCTGCAATTATGAAAGAACCCAGTTCCATTCTTTCATCCTTAACATTCACCAATCACCATACATCTCAAAAATCCCTGATGGTAACTGCAAGCAGGATGAAGAAAATTCAAATAAAAAAACAAAATGAAATAAAACACATAGAATCAAGAAGGATGAAGAAAATACCAGCAATAGCAAAAGAAAACACAGAATTAAGAAAGTTGAACTGCAGAAGCTGAAATTAATACTAACCTGAATAAGAATTTTCTTGAACTATAGTGCGGTTGAGGAAATTGATGAAGAAGCAAGTGTTTGAACTCTGTACCGACTTGTTGTAAAATTTTCTTTAACTATCTTTAGGCTTAAAAGGAAAGCAATGTATAAACTTGAAAATTGTGGAAGCAGATCAACTGAAATCTTCTTGTGGTGAAGTTGAGCGATGTGGCCAAGAAGAGTGGCAAAGTGTAGTAACGTGTCTGATGATGAGCAACATGGCCAACTTGATTGTGGAAGTTTCGAGCACAGTAGACGGTTGTGGGGAATTGCTCAGCACAATAGATCAAATTTTGACTGCTGCAATTATGAAAGAACCCAGTTCCACTTTTTCTTCCAGTTATTCACTAATCACCATACATATCAAAAATCCCTAATTGTAACTGCAAGCAGGATGAAGAAAATTCAAATAAAACAACCAAATAAAATAAAACACATAGAATCAAGAAGGATGAAGAAAATACCAGCAATAGCAAAAGAAAACATAGAGAATCAAGAAAGTTGAACTGCGGAAGCTGAAATTGATACTAACCTGAATAAGAATTTTCTTGAACTATAATGCGGTTGAGGAAATTGATGAAGAAGCAAGTGTTTGAACTTCATAATGACTTGTTGTAAAACTTTCTTCAACTATCTTTAGGCTGAATAAGAAAGCAATGTATAAACTGAAAAATTGTGGAAGCAGATCAACTGAAATATTTTTGTGGAGAATTTGAGCGATGTGGCCAAGAACTGTGGTAAAGTGTAGCAACGTGTCTGATGATGACCAACATGGCCAACTTGATTGTGGAAGTTTCGAGCACAGTAGACAGTTGTGGGTAATTGTTCAGCACAATATACAGTCTGTGCTTGTGTCTTGAACTATCTACCTGCATCCACGCTATGCTGCAACTACAATTTAAATATGAGGAAGTTAAGGCAATAATAAAATGTGTCTTTAAATGAGCAACCTGTCCAATTCCTTTAGTAAAACTGTTACATCCGTTGATGCATGGCTGGCCTGAATTTTGACTATCTTACCTATTCCATATACATATAAAATAGATCAAATCTATTACATTACATTTAACAAAAGTATCGAAATTAAGTTTCAAGATACATCTTAAACTTTTGCATAATTAAAACTACATAATATGATTAAACATAAGCAACACAAATATTCACACTAAACTTTGGTTGAAAACTCTTCAGAAGTTGTTGTGAAGTCTTCCAGCAGTTAGTTCTCTTTTCCACCGCTTCGATTGGTTCTCATTTTCTTATTTGCTACATTAAGAATATTAAAATTGAATTATTAAATTAGAATATATTAGTAACTTATGTAAAATAATTCTCATAATTTCAAATAGGAAGTCATATATTTTACCTTCTTGCATTGGCAATTTGAGCTGCTCAATACTACCAGTCTTTTCTTCCACTTCAATGCTGTTATTTACAACCAAATTGTTGTTGACTGCCTTCTCAATCTTTGGTTTTATCATTACGTTAGTAGTATTTTTCAAAACAGATTTTGAAATAGGAGCAGTCAATGGAGTTGTTGGTGGTCCTTCTTCAGTAAGGCTAATAACGTCAGAATTTTGCTGGGCGAACACATCCTAATTAGAAATAATATTTAAACAATTAGAATTAATATGATAAATGAATTGTCTAACATTCTATGATTTAAGAATTTAAACCTGTGGTGTATTTTCGACGTAGCTTTCTTTATTTCTGTCGTGTAAGTCCTCTATCAGTTTCATAACTGTGAATCCTTCATTACCCTCAATGTAATTGTATTTAGTAAGCTTAATCTGAACTTTAATTTTCTTACCCACAATCCCCTTAATCAATGATGGGAAAATTCCTTTCCTTTAATCTGTTGAACTGAACATTAGTAGGCCATGAAAGGAAATAATACAAACAGAAACTAATAGACTTCAAACAAAATTAGATGATAAAAATAATATAGAGGTTTATGTAATTACCTTCACCAAATTCTTAGACATTTCATCAGCAGAAACCTTAAACAATTTCTCAGCTTCTTTGTTGAATAATGTTATCGTGGAAACGACTGAATAATCTTCGACCTCTAGTGTTATCTTATAACTGCAAATAATACAAATACTCATTACATTTCATGATTATTTAACTATTATATAACTTTATATGTGAGTCAATATGATATCATAATATTACCAGATTTGTGTCATGACTTGTTTGTTACATTTCTCACACCAGAATCAATTACCAGCTATTAAGGATTTTTTTTGAACAATCAGGGCAACCACTGTATCTCCATTTCATATGCTCAATAATACCAATGATAATAACTTCGCAAATGAAATAATATTCATGTAATTATGGGAAAATAATATCTCAAAAAAGTAATGTAAATCAGTGATGATACATACACATAGAAAGTATCTTATTATATAATGCAAATTTACATTCGAAGTCCCAGTGTCATTGAAGAAAATTAAATCATTTAATGTGCCATTTGCTGCTTTTATAAGTTGTGGTTGATCTGCTGAGTAGTTGACTGGGGTAGGAGTTATTTGCAGTAATTCCTCACTGTCATTGAGATTTCTAGATGATGATAAATTCACTTTAGAAATCCATATGAGCAATAATATATTAATGACAATTATTCATACATACAATCATAATGCAATTATACAATATTACATTTTATGTTTAGAGTATAATCTCTTAACTACACCACATACCTCTGAGATAAATCCTTCACCTTTGGATCATCAATGTTGATATATACTCTCTATGCGCTGCTAGAAGAAATTGTATTATTTCCTGCTAAATACACGAAAAGAAATAATGTTATATGATAAACAACTATAGAGATGCATAATCTGATCTACAAACATTAACCAAACTTTAAAATATCATTTGTCTACTAAGCTTTAAGTCAATCAACCAGTCAAACCCTTGGTCTAGAATTATTTGTAGAGGCTTTCATTATCCAAAGCATTCGATCATCTTATGGTTGGTCATTCATTCCTGAATATTGACTCAAGATAGACTACACAAAATGAGAATGTTGGACACAAATACTTGTGTCGTATGCTCAAATCACATAGAGGAAACCTGTCGGAATTGAAGAATATCGAATGTCACAAATACTTGTGTCGTATGCTCAAATCACATAGAGGAAACCTGTCGGAATTGAAGAATATCGAATGTCAGTATTCTGTCCAATCATGGAATAAAGTTATTGGAATCCTATCATCAATTTTTATTGCAACAACCTAAAGGGGAAGAGATATGAAAAATTTGAAGAGAATGTAATTGTCAGTTACGGTCTATTTGATATGGCAAGAAAGGAACTGGAGAATTTTTTAGCTCAAAAATAGGGGGCATGATCATTTGTTTGCTGTGAAGATATCAATTTTCTCCAAGATTTAGAATGATGATATCCCTGACCATATGAAGGAGAAGCTGTAAAATATATAATATGATATGTTGTTTCCAAACGATGTGTTTGGATATTTAGTTTCCAGGTTTCATTCGTGGACAGTTGATGTACTCAATTTTCAAATTTTGGTGATGAATAAAATATCTTTTCATTGAAAAAAAAATTAACCAAGCTGATATCAATTTGAATTTGACTGGATAGCAATGGTTCGTGCTCATTACCTTGAAAATTTGTTACAAATATTCCAGTGATTATCATAACCATATTATTTGGGTCATACTATTGAGCTTGATCTTCTAAATCTAATGCAATTTTGTTCCATAATGTCACTGTACATTCCTTGCCCCTTTAAGAAAAGTATAAAATCAGCCATGATATAAAATGATATTAGAATCCATTATAATTTTAAATGTATAAAACGCTTACTACAAGTCATTAATTATTTTTAGCGATCTTCTAGTTTGTCTTTTCCCTCCAGTAGTAGAATCTTCCAATGGGTATATATCTTTCACAATTCCTACAACATCTATGAAATATGTATATTATTAATACATATAATATCAAGTTTATCAAACTTATCAAATAAAAACATAATTATTAAAAGTTTGCACGACCTTACCATAAAGATATGTACGTCTTCCTAGAAATTGTCCAAGTTCATTATAATCTTAGAATTGGAATTTTTGTCTCGGGATTTGCTCATCATCATCTTGGAGAACCTTAATTTCAGTCTGTCTAAAGAAGCATATAAAGTAATTGTTTTGAGTTGCTCGATAATCACCATACGCAGTTATCACTTTGAACTTAGAATGAATATGAATCCTCCCTTCTTCTATCATTGGTTTGAACCTAGATATCTCAGTTGCTTTTATGTTCCCTTGAATATTATTATCCTGATAAGAATAAATAAAGCAGATTAGTAATTATAAATTGATTTATAAATATAAAATAGATAATCACATGTTATATGTATCTGACTTTAATTGTAGAAGTCAAATAAAGTTAAGAATATGCAACTTACATTTTCATCTAACAATATTAGTTGTAATCCATATACTTGTTTAGATATTGGATTGATGTTCTCCCACAACCTGGTAACCCTCACCTTGATTACTTGATCTTTAGTAGTAAGGTCCAAATCTTTTATAGCTGTATAGCTATTTATTGACATTGTCAATGATGATCAACTGCAAGATGAAAAGTTAAAAAAATATAAGTAAAAAGATAGAAGCTATAATATATAATACATTCACAGATGTATAAAATTCATACGTTAAATTCATCAAAAAAGTATGCCTATGTCGGTGGAAAAAATTAATAGTTTCATGGTTGACAATAATAAAGTTGTGCAACATAGTGTTGAGATAATACTTGCAGTTAGATTGTTAAAAACTTCTTTGTACACAACATTCTCTATTACATTATTATCTATTCCATCTTCATTTTCAATGAGGATTTTAAGTCCCTGTGGTGAAGTAACTCGAGAAATTGCTACATATAATTGGCCATGTGTAAAACATGGTTTTGGAAGATACAACCCAACATGCTTTAAAGTTTGCTCTTGACTTTTATTAATGGTCATTGCAAAACATGTTCTCATCGGTAATTATCTTCTTTTCATATGAAATTACCACTTTGAATCAGTATTGGTCATATCTGTCCTGGATATAAAATGCTTTGTCCCAATATTACTTCCACTAATTATTCTAGCTTCTATTATCCATTTAAGAAGTTGTGTGATAACTAATCTCGTACCATTGCAAATACCATCTGCCGGGCTAAGATTACGCAAAAGCATGATAGGAGTACCAACTTTAAGTTTAATTTCATGATTTGGCATCCCAGGGAATTTCTGTGAATTTAGAAATTTAGTTGGATATAATATTTCATTGCTTGCAAGATTTGGCGAGGTGGGACAAATAGAATCAGAACTTAGATATGTAACATACTCCCCTGGAACGATGTCTAGAATTTCATTGTTAATTATGTCAACAACTTCATTCCTTGCTATTAGTATAACTCTTTCCTCTAAATACTCTTCATTTGAGTAATTCTGCATCAATCTAGGATATGTAGACGATATAACCTCATCAATCGGATTACCATTCGCATGGATTATAAAATTATCTGGTATCTCAACTAACAAATCCTGATCATGAAATGCATTTTTCTTACACATGTTATCTCCATTTCCAATATCAAGTACCCACTTACTAAAGTCAGAGTTAGACATTGTATTACTTTCACTAACTTGTGTTTGCAATCTCATATTCTTAGTAAGTGTTAAAACTTTACAGTCCCTCCATAAATATGAACAACTAATAGAAGCATGTAAGATATCATGTTTAGATCCTTTTGGAATAACTAGAAGTATTTGTCTGAAGTCGCCCCCAAGCACAAATGTCTTTCCACCGAAAGGTTTGTTTACATTTTCAGAACATTCTGCTCCTAATATATCTTTGAATGTTCTATCGACAGCTTCAAAAGCATGTTTGTGGACCATTGGAGCCTCATCCCAGATTATAAGACTTGTCATCTTGATTAATTCAGCTTCAGGACTACCTATTTTGATTCCACAAGTCGAATTATTTTTCAGAATGATGGGAATATTAAATCTAGAATGTGCTGTCCTGCCTTTAGGAAGTAATATTGATGCTATTCCTAATGAAGCAACTGGCAATACAATTTTTCCTTCTGATCGTAATTTAGAAATAATTGATTTCCAAAGATAAGTTTTTCCAATTCCTCCATGCCCATATATGAAAAATAATCCTCCATGTTCTTTTATACAGACCCAAGTATAGTGTCATATATAACTTTTTGATCAGTGTTCATTCCTTGAACAAACTTCTCATTTTCACATCTTAACTCATCCCTGTTAAAATTTAATTCTTCACTAATAATCTAGTGCTTGCATTGCTGCATTATTTGTAGATCTGGTAAAGGCATCCCTTTGAAAAATTTTAAGCTTCTTCCATTTTCAAGCAATGAATACTGAATTTCAGCTAAAGTATAACTTTGAAGTTCCTGTTCTGACATTGTTAAGGTAGGCATGTCAAGAAGATTTCTCTGATCTTCCAATATACCTTTAGCCATATACTTCCAGTTCTTTTCCCATAGTATTTGTGGATTCATAACTTCACAAAACATTAATAATTTAGCAAACAATTGCCTAAATTGTTTTCCAGAAGCAACATAAGAAGCCTCATCCAAAACATATTGCCGTTCTTGATCATCATTTAATAATCGCCAAGCTTGACATGCTTCTTTGAATGTTGGATAAACTATTCCATCTTTAGTTTTAATGTCATCAAAGGATGTAGGTCCTTTTACAACATTAAGAAGCAACCTGAGATAAAATCTCTCACCTGAAGTTGGATGAGAATAAACAACTCTGCCAATACTACGACCTTTTTCCCTGATTTTCCATCGTTTCTCATCAGCTAACCAAACAAAATGTGAAGGAAATTCTGAGCATGTGAGTGTTTTACTTTCATCATATAACTTGTTTGCTTCCATACACCTAATAAATTTTGATTTTTTTGCATTAATATTATCAATAATTTCATTAAGATCATCTGAGTCTTTGAAAATCATTGGCTGTTGATCAGGAAGGTGAAATGGGAGCCTCTCCACAGCAGGAATTCTGTAATGTATATCAAATCCGTAGATTCTCCAAATTGCTTCTGGAGCTGAGATGTATCGACAATCCAAATAATATTGTATCTCATCAGTCTTTTCATGGTTATTTGAACCGCTTGAACTTGATTTATGTGACCGTAGAGATATGGAAGCATGATCAGGTCCCTTAGTTATATACTTAAAGAGATATTTTATTGACCTACCTCGATTACACCATTCAACATTAATGTGGGATTGATATTTAACAATAAGGTTCCGATTATAAGGTACGACGTACGACATAAGCATTGTCCAACTTTGTACCATTTTTATCTACCCATCTATTATTATCATTCCTTCGTCGGTATACAGCAAAACCTGACTCATCAATTACAGTCTCATTGACGTACTTCTTTGGAAAGTGTTTTGAGCAATTTCCCTTTCTCATACATGGGGAGCTTGTATTAAATATGCCACATAGACCGTGCATCATTTATTGTCCAACTGCTGCATATCCTACTGGATCTGTTTCTCTATCGGTAGTCTCAGCGCTGATTATCTTATTAATAGCATCAGAATCTGGATATTTACTATTAGGATCCAACCATAGCAATATATGTGCATGTGGCAATCCCCTTTTCTGAAATTCAATAGTATATACGACTGCATATATTAAGCCAAACACTAATAAGACAAATGTCATGTCTGGAAATATAACTTCATATACACACACACACACACACACATATGTATATTTATATTAATATGTAGTTATTAAATAAAATATGCATTTACTTATCAGGTTTGGTATGTTATATCTTATATAACAGTCTGATATACTTTATAACCTTCCTCAACTTGTTTATTCTCGTATTTCATATGTAGTTAATAGTAAATGTTTATTTTGTTTGTTATTAATCGTATTGTTGCACATCTGGATCATAAATAATTTTTAGCTTCCATTTTTTCATTCTATGTGCATCATCTTGTATAATATGATTTAGTGATAGTGGATTTCACTAATCAATTTATCTTGATTCTCTTAATAAAATGTACTATATTCCATTGCAAATATGAATTGACTCTCTTTGTACTTCAGATGGATTTGCTTATAGTCAGATTTGAGAATTTGTTTTCACCTCACTAATTTGGTGTTAAAATTAATTGATTTTTTTATTTTGAAAGTCAATGTATCAAAAGTTATAAATTAGAAAGTTGATGTATCATAAGTTATACTTAGCAATAGGAGTTTCCTTTGACAAATCAATTAGCATTTTTAACTGATGTACTATGTAATCTAGTATATTTGTTTTGTATTTAGTTATCATATTTATTCAGTTTTCAAATTTGTTATTTATATCAATTGTTTTGCACTTAGATGCTTTTCTAAAGTCTTATATTGATTCATAAATCTGAGTTTTGTTTAAAAATTGGACACAGTTTATTCTTAAATATTGTGCTTTTGATTGTCATTCATCCACTTTTATATTGTTTCATTTTCTACTTTATTTATCTTTACATATTTTTATATTTGTATTTATGAGTATAAGCTATATATACATACCAGCAATGCTATTCCCAAAATATTGACCAGCTTGCAAGTCTTCCATTAATAGATCAAGCTTTATTTTAAAAACCCTTGCAACTATATCTGGTCTTTCATCTGGTCTTTGCCCCCTATCTCGTCCAATGCATATTTAATCTCTTGCCATTTTGGATTTGAAGTAATTGTGATGAACAAATCCGGATTTCCTAAAACACGACACAAAGCAATTGCATCTTGATAATTTTGAGTCATATATCGATTACCGTCAGTAAACGATGAAGGTAAGAAAATTCTCTTCCCAACTTGTGCTCCATCTGTATCACCTCTGAATATTGCATCTTTAATGCCACAATATAGCTCCGCTCTAAGTTTTGTTTGATTTAGTCTGACCCAAAGCAATCTATCTTCTTCAATACATGTAAACATATCTACAATATAAGTCTGTAATAGTTTGCCTAAAAGATTCAATGTATGTCCTTCGTCACACCTTTGTTGGATCCTAAATGCAGCATATTCCATCATTGTTACATCTTTTCTCTTCATGTTTGAATTATTAGACTCTCCTTCCAATGGAACGCCAAGTCGAAATCCATGCATCTTCACCATACGAGAATAGTAAAGGATATTGCATGGCCATAAAATTGGGTGAAGATCACTAATTCTAGACAACCCCATTTTGCGGTCATAAACAACAATATATCACACTGCTATTGTTTCATCAATGTTTCCAACAATTAAACCTGATATCTCTGACACAGTTGGCATATTCTACAATCTTCCATCACCGCTCCGTGATTATTTAATGATCAATTGTACTGCCAGTAACTCATTTTCCTTGACTTGGTCTCTCACCATACGAAAACTTTGAACCAACACATTGCAATGATCTAACATTGTAAGTAGATTGCTTACAATAGCATCATCTAATTCAGCACTACCATTAATTGCTGCCATTCTGTTAGATAGCTCGTGATCAGTATCATATATGTAAAGTTAACAATATTTCAGAATTTCACCCGGTATAGGTTTTAAGGAACCTATCTTATGATGATTTTGATCATTCAAGCGATAATAATAAGGACCCCCTCCATTATTATAAGTATTATTAACTCTTCCTCCAGTCGAGGTGAATGAAAACAAAGAGTTGTACATCCTTATATTTTGTTTGAATTTTGTAGATCGTGCTCCTCTAGATGGTGATAAGAGTTGTTTAAGGAATTCTGGCGGTTGATGAATAAGCGGGAATTTAACTTTCTCTTTACGGCAACATAGTGAGAATGTTGGATTCTTAGGTTTTTTAGACTTTTCAGCTCTTTCGTCATACTAAAGCATTGCCTTACAATGAGGACAAGTGAATTTGGGAGGCCCGACGTTGAGAATGTCATTAAAAATACCTTCAGACAAAATATCTCTCATTACTATATATTATAAGTAATACATAGTGATTTAATAATACGATGATTGCAGTCATACCTTCATTTGGCAATATATATTTTACACGTTTAGATTTGTATGATGTATGAGACGATGAACAACTGCTGGCTACATTTGAGGAAGTATTGCCTATAATCGTATTTTGATACCTGTTATTCACCATTTGAGAATTACTTTCATACACATTCTGTCATTGTCGTTGTCTTTTAGAGCGTTTATCTGTTAAAAAAATAATAGTCATAAATGTATATATCTATCCACCCCCTCCGTATACACACAAACACACACATTAACACACACATAATTTATTGACGCACCAAATGAGTTCTTTTCACAAACCTATAAAACGATGTTCAACTTCTTGTGTCAAGTTAGCTTCAACAACATAGGAACCTGGATCAGATGTTTGTGTAGGCATCATGCCACATGGTTGTGTATATCCAGTTCCAGATGTATTACAAATAAGGTTAACATCCTCAGCAGATGACTGAGTGATAGATGTACATTGTCTTGTATTGCATACACCTAACATTGCATCGTTTATGACTTCAGGACAATTAGTAATCGGGTCCTCATCATTGCTCTCCTTTATCCTGAAAATGAGTTCTAAGTGCACGTGAATGTGTGTATGTATGTATATATATATATATATATATATATATATATATATATATAAGAACATATACACATATCAATAGGCAACATCTTACTAATAAAGCTTTATGGACAATAATAAGATCAAAACCCTCATCATAAATATACTTGGACATAAGTTACAGTAAAATAGATAAGCATATTAAATATGTATAGATACTATGATTACTTAGCGTTACAACTGCTAAAACTATAACACAATTGGATAATCATTATCCAAGCATCTATGTAAATTAATCAAATATCAACCAAGCATATTCAAATTCAACACAGATGTACAT